GAAGGAAGACAGGTGTGTGGGGATGGGAGGGTGAGGAGGGGGCACAGGTCAGTGTTATGCACATCAGCTTTGAGGGGTCCCTGAGGCTGTCTAGTAGCAGCTTTTAACTCTGCGGATGGATCTTGGCCATGTGGCAGAAACTGGTCACCATTCCATGGGAGCCCCTGCATCAATCAACACTCCACGTCCACGTGGTCACATGGATGCCAGCTAGAAACTGCCTTTCCCAGCCTCCTGTGCAGCTAGCTGTGGCACATGACCAGGCTGGACCAAGACGGCACAAGCAGAAGTGGAGTGAGTGACCTCTGGGTTAAGAAACTATGTCACTTCCCTCCAGGGTCTCTCTTCCCCCTTCCCAAGGACTGGGACAGGGGACAGTGAGGAGGCCACATGGGAATTATTTTCTGCATTCATCACTGGGTTGCTCAGCATGAGTGTATAGAAACACAGTTAATTTGTGTATGTCAACCTTGCACGCTGGCTGGGCCAGTAGTGTACACCTGTAGTCCTAGCTCTGTGGGAGCTGAGCAGAAGGGTCATTTGAGCCTAAGTGTTTCAGGCCAGTTGAGGCAACACAGCAAGAACTCATCCCTGAAAAGAAAAAAATCGGCATTCTGCAACCCCGCTGAGCTATTTCCTTAGCTCTACTAATTATTTTATGGGTTTCTTAAGATTTGCTATACATAAGATCATGTCATCCTGAATAGAGAGTTTTACTTCTTCTTTCCCAATTTGAATTCCTCTTATTTTCTTTTTCTTGCCTAAACTTCAAGGCTAGAAACTCTGGTGCAATGGTGAAGAACAGAGGTGGTGAGCTCAGACATCCTCGGCTTGTTGCTGAGCTTGGAGAAAGCTGGCTTCTGGGAGGGCCTTGGGGAAACAAGGTGACCCTCTGCCTCCACCAAAGCAGCTTCCAGATATAGAGCCGAAACACTAAGAGAAACAGAAAAAGGTAATGCTGGTGGAAACCCAGAGATACAGGAAGAAAACGAAAATGGTGAATTTGGTGGAGGTGGAGGTCAATATATATTAAATACCAACTACTTGGCCATATTATTAATAACAGTAGGGTTGCCAGGGATTTAGCTCAGCGGTTTTGCCGACTGCTGCGCAAGCGCAAGGACCCGAGTTCAATCCCTGGTACCAAAAAAAAAAAAAAAAAGATCTCAATAACAGTAGGGTTTAGAACTAAAATGCATCATAATTGTGGTGGCTGCCATGTGTGTTAGTTACTTTTCTCTTGTTGCTGAGACAAAATATGCGACACCCAAAGTTAGAGGGGAAGGGTTCATTTGGCTTTCAGTCCATAATCGGCTGGCTCCAAGGCAGGGATGACAAACAGGCATCGCAGAAGAGAAACAACATGGCACCCACATGGTAGCAACAGCAACAAGAGAGCCTTAACAGTGTCTCCCTGCCCCTTTTATCTTATTCAGACTCCTTAGGGCGGGCAGCACTCACACCCTTAATCCTAGTGCCCTTGAGCCTAGCACTGCATCATGAATCAATCCCAGGCTCTCACACTCTAGATCCAGCCTGTGACTGCATGAGGGTTTGGGGGGACATCTAGACCCAAACCATAACCATGTGTCCCCCACATTTCATGTGTTGCAGCTTGGTCCCCAAGCAGCAGTGTTGAGAGATGGGGCCTTTGGGAGCTGATCAATGAACTAGTGGGTTCTTGTGGAGTCGCTTTGCTATCAACACAAGTTCACTGCTCAGACTCACCATGCAACACTTTCCACTGTGTTATGCCCCAACGAGAGGCCTCACCACATGCCAGCACAGTGCACTGGGGCTTCCAGCCTCCAGAACCCTGAATAAAATAAATCTCTATTCTTTTAAGTCACCCAGGCTGTGGCACCCAATTGTACCTCTTGTCGGGTGCTGAGGTGTTCAGTAGTTCCAGACTCTTGTCCCATTCAAAGAATTGGACAGAGACAACCAATGAACTTAGCAGCTTAATGTTTATTGAAGAAAGAGAAGAAAGGAAAAGCGAGGAAAAGAAGAAAGCGAAAATAGAGGATACATCCTGCACAAAGGACAGGTCACTGCAAGAACAAGAAGGCAGCGTGGCAGCAAGGTCAATGGCACTGTCTTTTTGTTTTGGATTTTTTTTTCTTTGGTACTGGGGATCAAACCCAGGACCTTGCACTTGCGTGGCAGGTGCCGGAACCACTGAGCTAAATCCCCGGCCCAATGGCACTGTCTTTTATATCTCCTTTTAATGTCAGACCCAGGCCGTCCCACCCAGGACTCCAAAAGTGCTCTGTGTGTGCATCTCGGCCGTGATTTGACAGGTCTCCGTGATGGACAGGTGACGCCCAATCGCACAGCCTATTTGCCATGCCCTAATCTCCTACCTTATACCCACAGAAAATGGACTAAGACAATAATGGTGAGTAAGTTGAGAGAAAAGTTCAAGAGGCAGAGTGTTCAAGTGCCCTGTCCAGAAGGAGCAGAGATGATTCGGGTTTTGCTCTGACGAGTTAAGATTCATGGTGCGATCTCCAAGAGCAAAGAAAGAGTGCATGAAAACCAAGCTCATTTTAGCACAGGGATAGAAATAATAAAAATCATTTAATCCAGGAGAAAGGAGAAAGGAAAGGGAACACAGAGGAGGCCAAATGAATAGGAAGCACTTAAGAAGACAGCAGATTTAATTCCAATGTATTAGTCATTGCACCAAACAAAATGGACCATATACCCCAGAAACGAGGCAAAGCAGGCTTGGCTATTGGGACAGTTGCAGCCTGGAGCCTTCCTGCTGTGGGGACCATGGGTAGTCACTTGTCCACTGTGCTCCCCCTACTTGGGTCCCGAGGGAAGGTTCCAGAAGCCCCAGGTGCCCTGAGGTAACTTCCAGAAGTTCTGTGACAGTTACAGCCCCTAAAGGGATGGGAGCCATTTTCTTTCCTGGCTCAGGGAAGATTTTGCCCCACTTGTAAAGGAGCAGGCATTTCTGTGAGGCTGGTGAGCAGCAATGAACTATTTTAGTGGTCGAAGGAGAGCTGGGGTGGGGGTGGGGGTGTCTCAGGGAACAGACGGAGCCCAGGCCAGTAGACAGAGGGAGGACCTACCACTCAGCTAGTCATGGTTCTGCTGCCCAGTGGGAGCTGCCCAGGGTCCAAGCCCACAACCACCCTGGACACTTCCTGGGCTCCTCGGCCCACTGGCTTCTCTCTGAAGCCGTCAACCTCCTCCCTGCTCCCCAAATGGCCATGTGTGCCCTCCTCCAGAGGCACCACATGGGGTGGCGTTGTTAACCGCCACGATGTCCATCCCAGAAGTGGGAGTCTGAGATGAGAACAGCTGACTGGGAGAGACTTGGGGGACCCTGAAGTCTGCCAGACCACATAGGGATTAGGAGGGAGTCCACTCTGATGCCATTCTTGGAAGGAAAGCTTGATTTTGTGAGAGCTCAAATTCACAAAATCAGTAACCCAGAGGCTGTTCCCTTCAATTCCAGTAGTGTCAGCAACTTGGCAGGACTTCAGGAAGGGGCCCTGGAGTACTGGGGCTTTCCCTGCATTCCCCTTCCCAAACTCTCAGACGAGGACAGGACACCCATCTCCGAGAACCCAGTGGAGGTTAATTCAGCAATGTGAGCAAAGCCCTCTGGGGTACCTGACACCTGTGGCTCCTCCCACGTGGCTGAGGTGCCTGGTGGCATTTGTTCCCCTTTTGTCCACAGATGGGCCTGATTAGATAGGTGTTGCTCTCAGACCACTGTAAGTTTCTGCTGCTCACTGTATATATTTGTCCTGTGTCCGAGCTCTGAACAAATTCGAGGTCTTTGGAACAACAGGCAGTCTCTTCCTGCTTCCCATTGCATGGGTAGCTTTTGCTGTAAAGGGCCTGGGGTGAAAGGCCACCTCTTGTCTTTTGAGGACCAGCAGATGGTAACATGCTCAAAAGCCGTAGCTTGGCCGGTATCTTGTGGCTGTTGTGGATGCTATCTGCGGGCAGGTGCCACGTTTGGAAATGATGTGGCCAAGGAGCCCCAAGTGAGATGAGCACTCAGGTTCCCCCAAATCAGGAGCTGCATAACCCCTAGACTGGAGAACAGCCTGCATCTGGCTTCTTTACCCTTCAGCAAAAGCAGTATGGACCCCCCTGCCCCTGCAGATTATCCTCCCTGACCCCCATCCAGGTCCTCTTCTTTTAAATTTTTGATATTTTCTAATAAGTCTGTTTGCACTAACTTTGATTTTTAAAAATATTTCAGTGCTCTCTGTCTTGATGACAGCATTTTGGCATCCCCTTAAATTGGTGCTCAGTGAGCCCCTGGATCGCTCGAACTCTGGGACTCCGGCATGCTCTTTAGAGGGGGCCCCAACTCTTCCATTAAAGGAAGAGACATTTAGCAGTGTGGGAGGGGTCTGCAGGAAATGTGCAGTTCCCCCACTTTGTGGGCATCCGGTGGGGGCTGGAAGGAGGCGGAAAGGACAGGGTTCAGAGCTAGGGAAGAGCTGAGGTGTGTCACAGCTGGAGTTAGGATGGGGAACATTGTGGGCAGGGTTAGGATGGGAGGGTGTTGAACCTCACCTCCAGCAGGTTAGGTCTGCCTCCTCTTTGCGAGTTTCTCACACATTCTAGGAGGCAGTGTCCTTAATCACCTTCCTAGACCCTTTCAGCCGCCCTTCTCTCCTCTCCTTTTGCAATTTCCCACCCATCCCCTTTTGGACTGTCTGGCTGTGGTCACTTCTTTTTTTTCCTTCTAGACTATTAAGTTCATAGTCACAGCTAACATGAGCACACACCATGCCAACGGCCCCACCGCAGAGCAGAGCAGGACAAGTGTCCAGCTTGGGACACGACCTCTTCCCCCTCCAGCCCATCCACAGCTGAAAACAACCTGATCCCAATGAAACCCTTTTCTACTGGCATAGTTAGAACACATGGTTCCGGCGATGGGCTGGGGGATTGGGAAGCCCAGTAAACAAGTGGCCGGATCTCTACTCCCTTTTCAGAGGACGGTGGTGTAAGAAAGTGTTGAGATGACGATTATACCAGATGTCAGGCTCGAGTACTTGGAGCAAGTGGCTTCCATCATCCTCAAATTCAAGCCAGACAAATGGAGCAAGCTGATCGGAGCCGAGGAGAACATGGCCATGTTCACAGAGTTCTTCGAGAAGCCGGATGTTTCTGTGCTGGTGTTGACGCTCAATGCCACCGGCATGATCACCCTCTGCCTGGGCTTTCCGGAGTCCCTGAAGTCCAAAGGCGTTTACTTCATCAAGACAAAGCCAGAGAGCATCAACAAGGACAACTACAGGACCCACCTCCTCTACGGGGACATCAGTCCTGCGCCCGTGGAGCAGCTGATCGCAGTAGTGGAAGAGGTGCGTGCATCTGGGCTGGCCACTGGGACTGCAGCTCCAAAGCGCAGGAGAACAGCCTGCTCCTGAAGTCTTCAGTGGGGGCCCAGTGCCCGCACTCTGCCCATGGTCAGGGTTACAGCAGCCTCACCTCAGAGCTGGCTGCAAATGCAGATGGACCTGTGTATTCCCAAGGCCTCCGGGTGATGCTGCTGGAGCCCAAGAAGCCCTGCCCAGCCCCAGCTCCCCATAGCACTAGAGGTCCTGTCAGTTCGGGAACAGCCTCTGCCTTACCCAGTGTGGGCCATTCGTGGACCCATAGGTTGGTTTCGAAGTTCTGAGGGAAAAGGGGGTGGCATTTTCTGCACCTCTCTGTCACTGCCCTGCCCCCTGGCCCCACATCACTGCCAGAAGGTTTAGTGGCAGTGGGGGACCCTCAAGGGCCCAGGTGACCCAGGCTGAGTTACTGAACATTCCCGGTTATCACGGAATGAAGACCCAGGTCCCTGCCTTGTGCTCACCCAAAGGAAAGCAAGTACAAACCCAGGGGCCACTCAGCAGGCCCAGACAGGTGATAGATGGGACTTCTCAGTCATGGGGCTAAGAGCTAGGGGCACTGCAGGCCAACGCTGGAGCACTTGGGCCTGGTCTCAGCGCGGCTGCCGAACGAGGCACCCTCAGACTTGGGGGCTTCAGCATCTCTGGTTCTGGAGGCCAGAATCTGAGACCAGGGCTTGGCCAGTGGTTCCTCCTGAGGCCTCTCTCCTTGGCTTGCAGATAGCGGCTTCTCCCTGTGTCCTCACGTGGTTGTCCCTCTGCATGTCCTATGTCTTTTTATGAGGACACCGATCCTTTGGATTAGAGCCCACCCTACTGACCTCAGGTTACCTTAATTACCTCTTTTAAGATGCCACCTCCAACTGCAGTCACATCTGGAGGTGCTGGGGGTTAGGACAGTCCCGTGTGGCTGAGGGGACACAGGCCAGCCCATCACGGAACTCCAGGCAGCAGTAGTGTGGATCGCAGCCAGGTGTGTGCACCATCGCAAGAGTAGGGTATCCCTTCTTGGTGATGACCTGCCCACTGCAAAGACAGGGAGCTGGGCTGCCGCCACTGGTCCAAACACCCAGCGCTCCACTTCCTGGTGGATAGAAGAAGGGCTTACCTTTCCCAGGACTGTGGGTACAGAGGTCACCACCTTCTCTAGGCCGCCAAGCTTGGAGGCCGGGCACAGCGACAGTGGGATCTCCTTGCAGGTGCTCTATTCTCTGCTGAACCAGAGTGAGAACACCTTCGGCTGGCCCCAGGTGGTCTCAGAGGACATCATGAAGCAGGTGCACAAGCTGAAGAATGAGATGTTTGTGATGGGGGGCAAGATCAAAGGGAAGACGCTGCTGCCCATCCCAGAGCACCTGGGGAGGCTGGATGGCATGCTGGAGTCCATGGAGAGGTAGGCAGGGCCACTTGGCTGGGCCAGAGATGCCTGAGACAGGACCAGGGTGACAGAGTAAGTGTCACTGCAGGCTGGTTCTGTGCTTGAAGCTGTTGAGACACTCAGGGCCGAGAGGGTGCTGCTAGGTAGTGCCAGGTCTGATGTAGATACAAGGGCAGGAAAGGGGAGGCTTCGGAGCCCCTGGGATTCCAGTTCTGGCAACTGCTGAGCAGCCTCCACACCCAGGAAGGGCCCCCCGCACCCGGGGCCCTCATTCGGTCACACAAGTGTGCAGCCACCACATGGCGCATAAAAGATGCCACACAGGTCGACGTGGCCAGGAAGCAGATGCCCAGCTTAAGACCAGGTACTGAGGAACAGTGAGGGGTGGAAGGGATCCTCAGCCGGGGGACCCAGGACTCCAAGACATGTGTTGTACCTGCCATGTGGAACTCTTTCCAGTGTAACAACTTGCTCCACATGCGTCTGAGGGTGACAGCTCTAGGGGATCCTGGGGTAGGTCCTCCATGGATCATCCACTGAGCCCCCAGTCTGTGACGGAGGTGGGCCCTGTCAGAAGCACCAGATGGAACTGTTTTAAACGGGATTTTATTCCAAAGTCCTGGCCCCTCTTCCTCTTCTCTGGGCACTGGCATTTCTGAATTTGCTCGCTCAGATCTTTCCACATGGGGGACTTGGAGAATTCTTCAGCCTCCTTGGGGTGGCCAGAAAGTGCCAGGGACATGAAGCTAACGTTCTGCTGCTGCTAGGGGTTTGGGGTCCACCAGCAGCAGGATGCTGGGAAGGGGTGGAGGATGCCCAGAAGACTGAGGAGCTGGCGGAACCCACATCGTCCCAACCTTGTGCCTGGCAGGATCCCCTCATCTCTGGACAACTCGCTCCTGCACGCCATCGAGACCATCATCATTGACTGGTCCCATCAGATCTGGGATGTGCTAAGCAAAGACTCGGCTCAGGCCCTGCTGGACGGGCTGCACCCTCTACCCCGGGTGGAGTTCGAGTTCTGGGACACCCGGCTGATGAACCTCAAGTGCATCCATGAGCAGGTAGGGCCTCTGCTCTGCCGCAGTGGTTGAGCCCCTCAGCCACCCAATGGTCAGTGGCCATGTCCCTGCTGGGTGACTTGGGCCAGCCCTTAGCCCCTGAGTGCTGACCTTGCGGGAACACTGAGGGGCTTTGGTGACCTAAGTCAATTCCTCGGCTCCAGCATCCCCAAGGCAGGCTGCCCTCATCTTAGTGTTTGCAAATTTAACCAAAAGACTCATGTTCTTCTCTCCTTTGCAGCTGAACAGACCCCAAGTGAACAGAATAGTTGAGATCCTGGAAAAAGCCAAGAGCTGCTACTGGCCAGCCCTACAGAATGTTTATACGAATGTCACTGAGGGTGAGCCCAAGATGCTGCCCATGATTTCCCCAACGAAGCCACCCATGCTTTCTGGGAGGAGCTGGGACAGACCAGTTGCCTCCCCAAGGGAGCTCATCTCCCCGCTGAGCAACTTGCTCAGTCACCTGCTGGGAAAGAGCCTGTGTGTTGGAGTGACACATCTCAAGAGACACGCAGGGCTACCCAAGAAAGGCACTGTCCCGCCCTAACTGACCCGCTGTTGTTCTTGTTGCACTCAGGGCTGAAGGAAGCCAATGACATTGTTCTCTACCTGAAGCCCTTGCGGATCTTACTGCAGGAGATGGAGCAGGCTGACTTCACATTGGTATGTCAGCAAGAGAAAGCTCACTGTGTATGTGTGTGTATGGGGGCTATCTCCTGACTTGGGGGTACAGGGGGCTGCAGGCTTCTTGGCTGTCATCAAGCACAGAAAGTCCCCTGGAGCCCCTCTTCTGGATGCCTAGGGCTAGCCATGGGAATGGGAGGCTGAGACAGTGTGGCAGGGCTGGGTCCCCTGCAGCACACCTGGGCCTGTCTCTCTCCAGCTCCCATCCTTCATCGCCAAGGTGCTGGACACCATTTGCTTCATCTGGGCCACCTCGGAACACTACAACACACCCTCCAGGGTCATCGTCATCCTGCAGGAGTTCTGCAACCAGATCATTGAGATGGTGACTTCCCAGCTCCTGCCTGGGCCCTCTCCCACATTCTTCTCTGCTCTGTGGCTGCCCTAGCTGTTCACAGCAGGCTGAGATGTCTCCATGGGCATTTTCCGACCTGAACTGAGGCTTGTGGTGGCGACTAGAGTTTCCCAGGACCTGGGCAGCACCCCACTCATCCTGTCCCCTCTAAGGAGGGAAGAGGCCAGAGGAGGAGACTTATCTTGAGAGGCCCAGCACCCTGAGATATGCCCAGGGACTTTGTGGGGCTCAGCTGCTACCCAGAACCACACCCCCTTCCCTTCTTCTTTCCCAAGCACCTGTTAGCAGCTGCCAATGCTGAGCCAAAGGGTTGTGGCGAGTCCCTCATTATCTGGAACCCAAATCCATTTTAACTGCAAATTTGGCATAGCATGAAGAGCCAAGTACAAGAAGCTACCCGGTCTCCCAAAAGCAGCCCAGCAGCTGGTATTTGGGTTGTGCCATGTATCCAAGGGACAAGTTTGGTGTCAGAGGGGGCAGATCACAGCCCCAGTGGGGATAGTTCCTTGTCCTACACCTGCCTGGACACGTGTCACCCAAGGGGCTTCTCAGGCCGCCTGTCTGCTCTTTCATCCCAGACGAGAACCTTCCTGAGCCCCAACAAGGTGCTGAAAGGCTTGCAAGGTGAGATCGAAGAGGTCCTGGGCAGCATCTCCCTGTCCGTGAACGTCCTGAGAGAGCTCTTCCGCACCTATGACTTTTGCTGCACCAACATGAAGCTTTTCTTCAAGGTGTGTGCAGGGCCCTGGCAGGGCAGAGAGGCAGGGCCACATCTGTCCACCCGACAGTTGCAGAGGTGGGGTGTGCCATCAAACACGCCCTTCTCTCTTTCTCTCTACTAAAAGGACAAGGAGCCTGTGCCGTGGGAATTCCCTTCTTCCCTTGTGTTCTCCAGAATGAACGCCTTCTTCCACCGCATCCAGACCATTGAGGTAAAAACAGAACTTGGATCCTTGATGCCTTTCACTTCCACTTTACAGACTGTCAGCAGCAGAATGATCTCCAAGGGCTTGGGCTGGAGAGTGCCTGCCTGTTCCCTGTGGATCGGGTTCAGGGTTCCATCTCTAGAACCGCAACACTTAGGAAGCCAGGAGGCCAAGGGCAGAGTTAGGGGGCTAAATTACCACAGAGGAAGACTTAAGAAGGCCCCTGACAGGCAGCCAATTAAAACTTAAAGATGGGTCAACCTGGTTTTCTCTAGAGAGAAGAGGTGCTGGTTGAGATGGGCAGGCACAAGCAAATGTTACTTTTTCTCTTGTAATCTTCTGCATGGTGTGATTTTTTTTTTAACCTCGTGCACAAGCAATTCACATCATAAAAGGGGGGGGGGGACATAACCCTGTGACCAGAGCCCGGCTTTTAGGATGGACACCACAGTTGGGCCTTTCCCAAGCTTATGCTCCGCTGCCATCCACAGCACCAGGAGGCAGAGGGGAGCTCGCTGAGGACTCCAGAGGTGAAATCACTCTCCATCCATGCCTGAAGGTGCCCAGGCAGAGAAGTTAGGGGTTCATGGTCAAGTTTCCTGCCAGGCAGCTTTTGGTTAGATTCTGAATCAGGGTGAAGTTTCTGCGAAAGAAGGGAGGTGGGGAAATGGCCTTACTGTCCACTCCTCACTGGGCCAGCCTCGATTCACCTTGACCTCCACATCCCCAGAAGAGCACTGGAGCACATGGCGTGGCTATTTCTCTGATCTCCCCGGGTGTGCTTCGGCCTTGTGGCTGATACATCCTAGACTCTTATGGAAGATGTCCCAAGCACAGCGGGATCCCAATTTCCAGCCCAGGAAAGGGACCCTCAAGTACACAGGAGCACTCAGAGCTAAACACTGCCTGGCCCTGGGCTTGGGGCTCAGAGAGCTGTGGAAGAAGCCAAGCTGCTAGCTGCCCTTGAGGAGCCTTGGAATCCTCATCTGGAAAACAAGAATGTCACACACGAGGCACCAGCTGAGGGGATGAATCCGATGAGGTGAAATGTCAGGTGGATGGCCTGGGTCCAGAGCTGAGATTCAGAAGGAAGCATCCCCATGGCTGGCGTCACTGGGGAAGCTTCGAGAAGAGGGTCCACACCACAGAGGACACGGAAGGGATACCCCTGTGTCCACAGCATCTGCTTCCTCCCGGTGTGGGACGTCTTCTAGGTGGCAGAGGACTGAAAGCTCAGCAGAAGCATCAGAAACCACCAGCACTTGCCCTGGGGAGACAGACATATTCTGCCAGAATAGGGTCGAGGACCCGAGCCCAACCTCCATTCCCTCTCTTTCCACATTCCTAACATGGAGTCAACTCACGGCCCTCCTTCCACGTCCTCTCTGCCTTCCAGAAATGCCTCCACAGAATGTCAGCATAGATGAGCACAGGGCCTCAGTGACCATTTCCTGTACTCTGCTCACTGCCGCCAGAGCTGGATTAGTGACAGGACCCTTGAGTTTGGCTCTGGAACTGAGTGGACTAAGTGTATTTTTTTTTTCTCCCTCCACTAGGATCTTTATAAAACTGCTATTGAGTTTCTGAAGCTAGAGAAAATCGAGCTGGGGGGAGTGCGGGGGAACATCCTTGGGAACCTGGTGACTCAGATCTACGATGAAGTCTTCGATCTGATGAAGGTTTTCACTGACTGCAAATATGATCCCCTGGACCCAGGGGACTCGGTGAGTCCTAGGCCCAAACTGGTGAACACAGCCCGAGGAGTGGGAAAGCATGGGGAGGAAGTGGGTCACCTGCAGTCCTGACGCTTCTAAGGAGTTGTCGCAGAAGCTGCCTGAGGAGCTGTCCGCCCTCAATGACATCTTCCTGGAGCTTCACCCCGAGACCTCCCTGCAAGGCAGAGCCCTGCAGTGACCACATGCCCTGCCTTACATGCAGACTGTTTCATTTATTGTAGAGTTTTGACAAAGATTACGCTGATTTTGAGACCAAAATTGAAGACCTGGACAGGAGGCTGGCTACGATCTTTGGCCAAGCCTTTGATGACTGCAGCTCCATCGAGTCTTCTGCTAAGGTGAGCTCAGGGTGGACTTGGCTAACTTCGAGTCCACTACAGCAGTGTGGACAGCGCTGGGAATCAGTCATAGCAAGGCATCCATGCCCTTCAGGGCTGCTGAGCTGGCAGGGCCACATCTCAGTGCTGGTCCAGGGTAGCACCTCAGTGTCTGACGAAGATATCAGCAAGTCTCTGAGTAAGACAATAAAGCGAGTGAGGAATGGCAGTAATTTCACCAATACCCAAGAACTAAGTTTCTTTGATTCAATTTCCCCACCACTTAAAAGGAAAAAGAGTTACAGGGATCAAAGCACCAGCAGAGCCCATTCTGGGGTGCAGTTGGCCCTCTGCTCAGTCCTCCTGACTCAGCCTCCCAAGTGGGACCACAGACCTGCACCATCACACCTAGCTAGGGTTGATGTGGCAGGGACAGAGGGAAGCAGACTTTCCTTCCCTGGAGACCTGATCTCCTTCCAGACGTCCCACCCCAACCCCCTCACCTTGAGGGTCAGGGCTCCAGCCTGACCATCTGGGACACGGGGCCTTCGACTCAGATTCTAGGGGACCCTGCTCAAGGTCACACAGATAGCCAGACAGAGGAACCAAGACCCCCAGTTCCGAGTGTGGCTGCTTTCCAGGCCCTGTTCTGAACCATCTGGCGGGTGGGCTCCCAGGACTGTGAAGGCATTCGGGGTTCCGGGCAGCTGGAGCAGGGTTCACCCTGTGGAGGATGTCAAGCCACCTGCCCCTGAACACAGCTCTCTCCCCCAAGCAAATGCCAAGACATTCCTTTGCCTTTTAAGTGTTCTTTAAAAAAAAAAAAGCAAATCCGTGGGCATTTGAAGAACTATAAATATAATGATCAACTGAACCTTGGATTGTTGGCACTCTAGGCAAAATATCAACAAATGCAAATTAATGCATTTAACCTCCTTGCCGGGGTTAAAAAAAATACTGTCCAGTGATACTTGTTGTATCACAGGAAGGTAGACTTTACTTGGGACCACTGCAATAGGTTCAGGGTCCCCTGCAGTGGGGTCCTGTGGTGGGGGACAGCTCAACCGTGAATGTAGAACGGGCTAAGGGGTGGAGCCCCAGAACAGGCGGGGGCGGTGGGTGGAGATCGACCATGAGAGGGAACCTCAGGAGTGAGGGGGCTTAGGCTCAACAGACTGAACAGGATCCTTGCTGAAGCCCAGCCAGGGCAACCAGACCCCACCCGGGAGGGAGGAGGAGGACGGAGCTGATCAGATGTCGGGGCTGGGGGCTCTGGCTGAACTGACTTAGCAAGGTCTTTGCTAACACAGGATTTTACAGAGCTGCCCACAGGTGGCCCAGGAGGGCTCAGGAACCTCACTCGAGTTTGGCCACACACACACACACACACACACACACACACACACACACACACAGAATCTTTGTCACTGTTCTCGGCCCTGAAGCTCTCTTCCCCAGGGAGTCCCTTGTTCCTTCTGCCTCTCCTGCCTCTGGTAGCAGCTTTCCCACCCGTCCTCCCTCTCCTCCCGGGCTGACACCAGTCTGCCAGGTCTCTCCTCTGCTGAGGCTCCCAGTATCCTAGAGTGTACCCGTGTCCTAGGCATGGTTCCCCTCCACCCAGGAAATAAGCTCCCAGAGGGCAGGCGTGTGATTTGGGCTCACTTAGGGTCGAACCTAGCACAGTGTAGGAGCTTTTGAGGCTGTGTGTGGCCCAGAAGTGGCTCTGGCTGAGGGAGTTTGGTTACCAATGTTGTCAGAGGTGGCTTCACTCGGGCGCAGAGCTTTGGCACAGAGCCCGTTAGGCAGTGAGCACAAAGAGTCCAGAGGCGGAGATGTGGAGACCTGGCGGGGGGAGGGTCTCCAAGATTAAAAGGCAACGTGAAGCACAGGGATCGAGGAGGACAGGCAGCCGTGGTGTCACCTCCGGGAATCCTGATGAGGGCCTTAGTTACTCCCTGCTGTGTGGAGGAGGACCCAGGGAGGAAGGTCAGAAGAGCGCAGTAACTCATGACCCAGCCGGGGAGGGATGAAGCCCCAGTCTCTCAAGTCCCCAAAACACATGAAGATTTTGCCCCCAGAAATCTGGTTTGGAACAGGGGAGGAATGGATGCGGATGGATGGGTGGGGGCTGAGCCCATCCATGGGGAGTCGGCTTGAAGCACCCACTCTTGTGAGCAACAGCCAGGAGTGGTCCAGGAAGAAGCCGGGTGGGGCCCCAGGAAGGCTTCTCACCGCTGAGACACCCCCTCTCCTGTTAGGGCCAGATCATCCGGGTTCTGTGCTCAACAAGGAAAGAGTCATGTGCTAAATTTCTACTTTATGCTACTTTAGGGTTATGCTAGGTAAGAAAGAAATAAAAAAGAAGCAAGGCAGAGAAGCCTCCTTGTGCGCCTCGGGCCTGACGCACATTCCCAGTGTTTGACATCCCTTGTCCTGGCAGGGTGGCCCTGGGTGTCCCTCCTGGGCCCCTGAGCTCCCTGCTGTTCCCAAGTTGTTTGGTTGCTACTTCCTGTCTCTGGAATTCACGCACCACCAGGAAATTTCTAGGGGAATCTTCCACATGATGCCCTCCTGGTCAAAAATAAAATGAAGTCAGAAGCCCAAACATATCTAAGGAAGAAGAAAGAAAAAGAGAAAAGGAAAAAGAAAAAAACAAAAGGAGCCAGAGGGCCTTAAACCATTCAGTGGATTTCTTTTTTCGACTGTCGCATGTCAATTTTTTTTACAAATGAAGGCAGGGACCTCCTATGCCTGCAGCCACCTACAGGTGACTGGGGTAGAAGGAGCAAGTGGAACACTGAGTTTCTCTTTCTTCCCGAGCATGTGGGGGTGCTCTGTTTGGCTTTGAGGGTGCCTGAAAATCTCTTCCCTTCTTCTTGGTCATGTTTTAGTCTTTGGTCAAATGGCCATTTTTAGGAAGAGTGATCCTATTTTTTATGTATCTCTCTATCTATCTATCTATCTATCTATCTATCTATCTATCTATCTATCTATTTATTTATCTGAGACAAGGTCTTGCCATGTAGTTCAGGCTGGCCTTGAACTCACTGTGTAGCCCAGGCTAGCCTCAAGCTCATGGTGATCCTCCTGCCCCAGGCTCCTGAGTGCTGGGATTACAGGTGTGCACCACCATGCCTGTTCCTATTTTCATACCAAAATCTGAGATGCACGTGGGGTTGTAGAGCATCAGTTGGTGGTGCTTTGCTAGGGCAGCCTCAGGAGGCTTGCAAGGAGTTCTCCCTAGCACACAGCACTTGGCAAGCTCACAGATTAGGGGACTTCATGGGGAGCAAGACGGTCCCCCCTCTTTCTGGGTCACTCTCACCTTGCCTTGTCTTTGTCAGAGCAAAACCAAATTCTGATGGTGATTCTTCTTGGCTGAATGTGTCCCTCAGAGTGACAATACTCTGTCTAAGAGGAATCCATCTTGCCCGTAAAGCTGCTAGCTTCGTGGTCATGAATTTCTTGAGTTTATGCTCATCTTGGAAGATCTTTTATTTCTCCTTCAATTTTGAAGCTTGCTTTGCTGGATAGAGTAATCTAGGTGGGGAGTTATTTTCTTTCAGGGCTTGAAATATGTATTCCATTCCCTCCTGGCCCTTAAGGTTTCTGCAGAGAGGCCTGCATTTATTCTGAAGTGGTGTTGCTCCCTTACAGCTTTCAGTATCCTTTCCTCCTTCTGTTCTCTTGTCATTTTAACTAAAATGTGACATAGTAGGGCTCTTCTCTGATAGCACCTGTTTCGAGTTCTCAATGGCTCCTCTCCCTGGATGTCTATATCTTTCCTATGATTCGGAAAGTTTTCTGTTATTATTTTATCAAATAAATTTTCTATGTCGTGAGTCTGTACCTCAGTGCCCTCTTCTACACTAAAAAATTGTACGTTTGGTCTTATAACCCAGAGCTCTGGGGTGTTTCATTTGTAAATTCTCATTTTTTCCTTTCTAGTGTCTACATGTGCTAACTCCTCACCCTCACCCCCAAGCCCTGGGATTCTGTCTTCTGTTTGTTCCACTCTGTTGATGGAGCTTTCCACTGAGTTTTGGATTTGACTTTGTGCTTCTCATTTCCAGAATTCCTGTTAAGTCCTTCAGAATCTCTCTCTGTTGAATTGTTCCTTCATGTCCTGCATTCCCTTCCTTAATTCATTCAGCTGTTTATTTGTATCCTCTTGAAGTCATTAATCATTTTGTGAATCAGTCTTTTGAGTTCTTTACCTGGCATTTCATCCACCTTGATAGCTTTCCATTCAGTTACTGAGGAGTTATGGACATTTGGAGGACTCATGTTGACCTGTTTTTTCATACTTCTTGGGTTTCTGTATTGAAACTTCTGCCTCTGTTGGGATGTATGACTCTTCCACTTTTATTTGAGGGTCTTCTTAGTGTCAGCCTTGTTTTGAAGACTTGCTCCCAGTACCACTCAGAGAGGAGAAAACTAACCAGAGTAAAGTATTTGTGTCAGCTTTTTCTTTCATCACTGTGACAAAATACCTGACAAAAACAACTTAAAGCAGGAAAGACCTGTTTTGGCCCACAGTTTCACAGGGTACAGTCCATGGTTGGACATCTCCATTGCTGTGGGCTTGAGGTGAGGCAGAGCATCATGGTGGCAGGAAGATGTGGCAGAGGAAGCTACTCACCTCATGGAGAATGAGAGCCAACCAGGGACAGGGAGATCAGTGACAAGACACAGCCCCCATGGGTACACTCCCATGACCCACTGCCTTTAATAAGGCCCCACCTCTTAAGTTCCCATCACTCCCCAAAGCCTATCAAATAATGAACCCATCAGTAATCCAGTAATGAGATCAGAACCCTCATGATCTGATTTCTTTCCTAAAGCTCCCCTCTACAGAGAGCTGCACTGGGAAAAGTGCAGTTTGGTTTTCAACGCTGGAGCCTTTGGGGACAGTCCATGTCCTAAGAGCATTCTCCCCCAGTCATCAGACTGAGCCCTTGTTAGGTGAATGTAGTCTTCAGGCTATGCTGTCGTTGTTTCATCTTGTTCTTTAATTGTTCAAATCTTCCTTGTTCACATCCTGATTTCCCCTGGGCACTGAATGAACTTTCCTAGACTTTAGTCCTAGTTGACACTCCTCATTTACAAGCAGAGCACATTGGGCCCCAGAATACAGCAACACAGAAATCATCAGGGGCCCTGTAGCCAGTTAACATACAGACAAATGTTGAGACACGCTCTTTGTTTTGACAAAGCACATGATTTCTGAGTCCCGATGCTCAGCCTTGCTTATTGGTCAACAGCCCACAGGCTGGGGACAGCACCCAGGACAGGCCAGTTGGCAGGGGCTCTGGCAAAGACATCCCCCTCCGTGTCTCCCCAGCTCCTGTACATGTGTGGGGGCCTCCTGGAGCGGCCCCTGATTCTGACCGAGGTGGTACCCAGATACTCCGTCATGCTGGAGATGTTCAACGCCGAGCTGGACAATGCCAAGCTCATGTATGATGCCCAGATGGTGGCCTGTGTGGAGGGCAACATCCCACCCATCCACAAGAACATGCCCCCTGTGGCCGGACAGCTCAAGTGGAGCCTGGAGCTGCAGGGGAGGCTGGAGGTGTCCATGCAGCACATAAAGCACATCAAGCATCCGTGAGTCCCCAGGGGAGGACCCGAGGGGCAGCACAGACAGGGAGAGGCCACTGTAGACCCAGGCTTCCCACCAGCCACACTTGCCTCCCCCAAGCAGAGTCCCACGGTGGCCCTTGTGGCTTCTCCCAGCCCCCAAAGGCTTCCAGTGAGTGTGCTCGGGTGTCTCTGGCTGTCCTCTCCCTTGACCATCAGCCATGTGGTTATAAAATAGGACCACCCAGACGGGAACAAAAGGAGGCTATTTACACAGTGCACCGCAGCAACAGAGTCACCAAGCCACTGTCACTGTGTTTGGCAGAGGTTCCAAGGCAGGCCAGAGGACATAGGAGCCAGGAGTGGCTGCAGGTGCACACGCTGGAGGCAGCTGGCTAGGAGGCGCCCTGTTGGACTGGCTAGGGGCGCACGGGCTTTTCTCTGGTTGGCCTTAGGAGGAAAGGAGGGCAAAACTGAAGGAAGTCTGAGTTACTAACTAAGCTGGATGTGGTGGTGCTCACCTGTAATCCCAGCACTCGGGAGGCTGAGGAGGGAGGATAGCTGCGAATTCGAAGCCAGACTGGACTACATAGTGAGTCCTAGGCCAGCCTGAACTGCATAGGGAGACCCTGTCTCAAAAACAAAAACAAACCAACCAAGCCCTGGCTGCCAGGGGCCGATTGCTTCGGGGGCAACGGTCTGGCTTCCTGAGCTGGCTGTTGCTCTGTCGGCACGGACGGGTCCGCCCTCCTCCACTTGTGTTTCCAGTCGGGCAGCCTAGCAGAAAGAGGTCCAGGGCTGCCTGCTTCGGCCGCCGGAGATCCCGGCAGCAGCCACTGGGGGCGCTAAAGAGACCTGGAAGAGGTGTCCGTGTGCAGCCCGGCGCCTCACTGGGCCCTGACTCCGATTCCAGGGTCGTGTCCAGCGCGGAGGCCAAGATGATCTACCAGAAATACGAAGAGATGATGGAGCTCCTGCGAGGCTATCGCGAGAAGACCTACGGGCAGTGGGTGGGCGGCGTGGACCAGGACTGCCACTTCAACCTGGGCCAGCCACTGATCCTCCGCAGCGCAGCCAGCGGCCTCATCCAAGTCAACTTCAGCAAGGCGGTGGGTCCCGGGGGCGGGGAGACCCCACCCGGAGCCGGGGCCTCGGGGTGAGCCCCCCCGCACTCCCCGTCCCGCCAGAGGTGCGCGCTGGCTGAGGCCGCTGCCTGTGGGCCCGGGGCCTGCAGAGGTGGGGGCAACGCCTTGAGCAGAGCAAAGCGGGAGGCCTGAGTGTGCCCACTGTGTCCTAGGAGCACCAACGGTCACCGGGGCCAGGCAGAGTGGACAAATGGGACGTGGGTGCAGAAGAGGTGATGTGATGGGAAGCCTCCTGGGCCATGGCAGGGACGGGGTCGTTAATTTGAGCCAGCTGGCAGCCTGGGTAGAATTTCCGGCTGAGGAGAGCTTTGGTCCGACTTCCATTTGGAAAGGCTGCTCCCTAGGGTGGGTGGCTAGGAGTGGGGAGACCAGTCAGGAGTCTCCTGATGAATTCAGGTGACAGGCAATGGCTTGGAGGCCAGAGGGGCAACAGGAGGTGGTGATGAGCGATCAGACTTTGATCACAGTGGAATGGGATTCCAGATGGGCTGGAAACGGAGTAGAAGAGGGAAAGAGGAGTCTGTCCCCATGTTTGGGGTCTGAGTGCCCTGGAGGGGGGAACCTCCATCAGCTGACGTAGCCTGCAGTGGAATGGAGGAGCAGGCTGCAGGGAAGGTCAGTTGCTGTGCTGGCCATGGTGAGTTTAGGAGATCCTGAGAAGATGGGGTAGGTTAAAAGTCCAGAGGGCAGAGAGGCATCCACACCCTTGACATCAGGTGAGAACATGGCTCATCCAGGTGAGAGTAGGTTGAGAAGGACCAAGGTCTGGCTCTCTGACATGGACACCTCGAAGTTACCAAAAGAGACTTGTAACAGGAACCAAGATGGCCTGGAAGCCAAGAGACCATGTGTCCAGGCGTAGGGGTGACCAGCTGCTGGGAAGTCATGTGACGTAACCGACAGATTCAGTAAAGAGAGGTTTCTGCCGTCTTGATGGACAGCAGTATTGGAAGGGATGCCCCTGCTGTTGGTGTCCTGGATCATAACCAGGAAGGAGGAGAGGGAAGGCCAGATCCTAGGGAGGACCCAGGTGAAGTCCCAGTGAAGCCTTTCCCTAAATGGCCTGGATGAATCGAGGGAGGACAGAGGTAAGAGAGTGACGTCCACCCATGAAGACGATGTGCGCATTGTCTGGCTCAGGAACAGCAAATGAGGTGAAGACATCCTGAGCCTGCCAGCAAAGGCTGCCTCCCATCAACCTTGAAACCCCCAGCTCTGGGGACACCCCCGGGGGTACTGCTGCATGGCTGCACTGGAATGGCTGTGTGGCCTTCTGACATGTTCTTTGACCTTTTTTCCTTGCCATTTAGTTGGTGGCGGTGCTAAGAGAGGTCAAGTACTTGAATTTCCAGCAGCAAAAAGAGATCCCAGACAGCGCAGAGAGTCTGTTCTCAGAGAACGAAACCTTCTGGAAGTTTGTGGGCAACCTGAAGCTCATTGTTGGCTGGTACAATGAGGTGAGTGGGTGGGGTTTTGTTGGGTTTGCCAAGTTTTGATTTCTGTTTGAACAAATGGTAGTGGGGGGTCACCTGTGGAACAGAAAGAACAATGAGTAAGTTTTAATATTTAAATGTGGTTCAAGGCACTCTTCGTTATTCATGAAACAGCAGCAGCAGCAAAGATGATGGTAACTCAAAATAGCTGAGAATGAAAACTACATTTCCACTTGGCTTTAACTTATGTCCCACATTTCTCTGTGGGTGTTTTGTCCTCCTAAGTATATTCTGGGTAATATTCCACAGTACTTGCGTTAGTCCCATTAAAGTGAGGGCATTGGGGACGTTTTACTGGAATCCAGCAGCCCACAGCAAGGAGACAATGTGAGGAGGGTAGAGAGGCAGGAGGTGGAGGGTGGCCAGTCCACCCGCAGCTTTCTGGTTCAACAATCCCTTGATTTAGGACATCAGTCAGATCTGGAGACCTGACATGACAGTCCCAAAGAGGCTGACTGGGGCCGGGGATTTAGCTCAGTTGTTCCACCACCTGCCTCATAAGCGCAAGGTCCTCAGTTTGATCCCAGGTACCAAAAAAAAAAAAGAGGCTGATGAGTAACTGACTGGCCTCGGGAACAGTCCCTCCTGGTGCTATGCTGTTTGCTGCCTGGGAAGCATGAGTGTGGGGCACAGAGGCAGGCAGAGTGCCTGTCTTCACTGTCTTACACACCCCACTCATACAGTGGGAAAAGGCCAGTTTACACTTTGGATCTTAAATGTCCTCTGAAGGCCATGTATGGTAGGCTCGGTTCCAGTCACAATGCTACTGAGAGGTGGTGGAACCTTTAAAAAGAGGTGGGGCTTAGTGGGAGGAAGATAGGTCATTGGGGGCATGGCCTTGAAGGAGATATTGGGACCTGGGTCCCTTCTTCCCTTTCTTTCTCTGTCTCTGTCTCTGACTCTCTCTCTCTCTCTCTTTCTCTCTTTTCTTGGCTACCATGAGGTGAGTGGCCTCCTCCACCATACCCTCCCATTGCCATTATGTTCTGCCTCACCACAGACTCAAAAGCAATTGGGTCAACCCTGCACTGAAACCTCAGACACCATGAGCTAAAAGAAATCCCTCAGGTATTTTATCACAAAGGAAATTTGACAGGCACAAGTGACCACTGGTACCACCCCAGCCCAGCCACCACAATCCAGTGGGTGTGGCAACTATGGGTTTGCCACTCTGCTGTGATAAGACACCACATGCCATGTGGGCTCAAGCAGCATAGACCTCTCCTGTGCTTCAGTTCTGGATGTCAGGAGTCCACGTCTGTCCTTACACTGCAGAGTCAAATGCTGGGCAGGCTGGAGACTTGTCCAGCTTCTAGAGGCCACCACATTCCTTGCATAATGGCCCGAGCTTCTCCAGAGAAACAGAGCCAACAGGAGATGGAGCTAGAAGGCGGAGGTTTGTTTACACAGTCTCACGCAGGGATGGGAGCAGGGAAGTCTCAGCACTGGCCATCTGCAAGCTGGTGAGCCAGGAAGGCTGGTGCTGTGACTCAATCTGAGCCCAAGGCCCGAGGATCAGTGGAGCAGGCCATGTGGATCCTAGCCCAACAGCAGGAGAAGAGCTCCCAGACTGACAGTGAGCCAGGAGAAAGGAGCCAGTGCCCTCTCCCCTCATGTTCCCCTTGCCCTGGAGGCATTGGATGAGGCTGCCTGGCCTGGGGACTTCACCGAGCCAACCACATCTGGAAACACCTGGGAAAACATTTCCTCTGGGGCCCCCTGTGGCACAGCCAGGTTGACAGATACAGGCAACCATCACAGCTGAAGCAGGTGGCTCCGACTTCTGCTCCAGTAACATATGGCCTCCTCCTCCTCCTCCTCCTCAGACCTTTGGGCCTCTCTTTTATGAGTCCCCTTGTGATTATGTTTGACCCCTGGATCATCCAGCCCATCCAGGCGATCCCCCATCCAGGCCCCTAACTTATCAGCCCTGATGATTCTGTCACCAGGGTGACAGATGCACAGGACCAGGATCTGGTCATCTCTGGGGGACCCACATACACCTCTGCTTGGATTCCTGGATACTGGGACTCGAGTCCCAGAGACAGCGGATCTTTAAGGTCCTGGAGAACACAGGTGGGTGGAAAGGGAGCCCAGCAACATGGGAGCCATGGGGAGCAGAGGGACAGGAGTGAGGGGGATGTAGGCGGCCGAGGAAGGGATCCTCATGCTGATTTTCAGGTCCATTCCTAAGGCCCCAGAGTGTGGACGTTGATGAGGTCCCCTTGCTTTTTCAGCGCCTCCCCAGGACTGGCTCAGATGGGTTCATGTTCTTGCAGCCAACCCTCCTCCAAATGGATCAACTCTCTCAGACCCTGAGTGGTTTTGTTTCCATGTTTATCAGTCAGTTTTCACTAGAGAAACACATATAATAGAAGATATGCAAATACATAAGAATTTACAAGGTTGGCTCACAATGGCTGCCCATGGGGTCTGATGAGGAAGAGTGCAGAGGGTCTGTCTGCACACCGGAGACTAAAGGATCCAGTCAAAGGTCTGGAGCTCAATGCAGTGTCCCATGAGAGTCTATATCAGGAGGCCAATGGGTCTACAATGGAAGGCTGAAGAGTCTACACCGGAAGCTGAAGAGTCTAGAAGCCAGGAGATGACGTCCAAGGTGAAGGTGAAGACTGGAGCTCCTCTGAAGAAACAGAAGCAGATCCATTTTTATTTCCCCTTTATACCATCCAGCCAATGAGCCTCCCTAGGCTGGGTCTTCCACCCAAGGGTGTGGAATTGCTGCCCCAATTTCGTTGAGCTTCTCTTACTCCAGTTGACACAATCAACCATCACACCATGTTTCATGGCTCAGCTGTCCAAAAGATGCTCACACACCCCCTGTCCCTGCCTGGGTGGCCCTTTTGGTGCCATCTCCAGGCCAAACTCTGTACTTCTTCTCAAATCTGAACACCCGTCCTGCCAGTTCCATCCGTGACATGACTTGGAATGTGGGCTACTATCAGCCCTGTCCTGCCCCTGCACGGGCCCTGCTAAGTCCTATGTTACCTTGTGTGATGAGCAAGGTGAGGGCACATACCTTCCTTCGGGGACAGAGGGTTTCAAGGTAGCACTGGAAGTCAAGGGTGTCCCTATCATGAGAGACTCTCTGACGAGACACCTAGGGGAGGGAATGGTGGCTAGAAGCAGTGAGGTACTGACCACGCCCATCAATTCAGTGCTCCTTAGATGTCTCAGAGACCGGTCAGAGCATGGGAAGTTTTGGGGCAAAGCTGTGGGGAGACTGGGAAGTGTCCCTTGCCTGGTGGCACGGCCTCCCCAGAAGCAGACTGGGAAAGCCAAGGTAAATGCAGCACGCTGGCTGGCACCATCATGTAAATGGAGCAGAAATTCCAACCCCCACCCCCAGCAACCAAAGGATCAACTAGGACAGAAATGTGACCCGGAACACGTTCAGGACAAAGTTTGTTTTAACCAACAGTTTTTCAAGATAAAATTTAATTGACTTACCCATTGGCGGCTAAAGACCATGAAACACCAGTGGCTGGGGTTTTTTTGTTTTTGTTTTTTTGTTTTTGGTACTGGGGATCGAACTAGGGTCCTTGCGCTTGCGCAGCAGGCAGCAGGCAGCAAAACCACTAAGCTAAATCCCTGGCCACCAAGACCTGCTTGAAGTGAACCTCCTTGAATCTGCTTTCTCCGGAACCAGTTCCCTTGAAACGTGTGCTGCCCTATTCCCTGGATTGGTACTAGCCAAAGTGTCTAGGGAAGATGGAAACCACAGAGAGCTGCTACACAGGGAAATGTTCACTGGTTGCATCCGGGGCAAAATAAATATTCTGCAATGACCATGTAATCAGGAAAAAAAAAATCCAATGGACCAAAAATAAAAGAAGAAACTGCCCTTCCACTACTGTACTTCCAGAGCCCAGCCAAGCCTGTGGTGTCCAGCCTGCCACTGTGGTCTCTTCAGCCCTGGATGCTACTGTGCTGTTAACAAAACCACTGGGCCAAGGAGAGAAGCTAGGAGAAAAGTCTGGCCCTGAGCTGCAACCCCATCTCTCTCCTTGCAGATGGTTCTGGGTCTTATTCTTTGAATGGTTTCTCCAGCCCAGACACCACAGACCTCCCAACCACAAACATCCATGAGCATCTGAGCTCAGCCTGAGTGGATGTGGCTCCTCAAGGGATTTCCTGGACTTTCCCCACGTGAGTGTTTGTGCCCTAGATGCCATGGCTGGAAACAGGGCCCTGCAAGGATGGAGTCACACCCGAGGCTTTGGGACAGGAATAATCAAATGTGTAGATGGATCACATGACCCCAGCTTTCCCTACACTGGCTTCAGAAGGGCGTGGTGATGTCCAGCTACTCCCATGGGTGTGAGCCAACAGGTTACACAACTAGGCCAGGACCGGCGTAAGTTTCCGCAAGACCTGAAGCCTTCAGGACACAAGTGCTGCCCCTTCCAAGCTGCCTGGCTGTGGCCCCGGATTCTGACCACCCAGCAGCCACCAGCTGTGTCCATATGGAGTCCTCAGAAACCCAGCTGGTTAACTCTGTGTAAAGTGCTGCCTTCTGGGCTTTAGTTATAAGCACACTGAGGAGGTGTATTGTGAGATCCTCCATGCATGAGCTCCACGATGGGGAGGAGGGCCATAGTCCTTGTCACCCCAGGGCTCCTGCCTCACTCTGCCCTGCTCTGTGAATTCCATAAGGCTGCTTTTATTTCCACCTGGCTTTCAGTGGGTCATCACCTGTAAGTTTTCTCCCCTTCCCTTACACACCAGTTCTAGGAGTCCGTGGTCCAAAAGCATTTGAAGCTTTGATGGGGCCTACACTTAAAATACCAAATGTGGGGCTGGGGATGTAGCTCAGTGGCACCACGCCTGCCTCGAAAGCACAAGGTCCTGAGTTTGATCCCCAGTACCAAAATAAAATAAAACACCCAATGTATAAAAAGGATCCTTCTGGAAGCCCAGTCATCAGGCTCTACTGTTTGCTTTGCATTCTCTGTAACTCCCACTTCTATAGAAGTGTCCTTGTGAAGAGAGACAGAAAGCAAAATATTGCTAGATGAGATGATATTCCAAAGCTTGTTATTTAGGGAATCCTTTGCAAAAGCTGTATACGCCCTCCCTCTTCCTTGTTTTTTTGTTTGTTTGTTTTTGCTCTTGTTCAGTTTTGTGTTTGTCTTTCTTCCTGTTTTGTGAATTCACGTTCCTAAGCATTGGTTAATTTCCCACTGCTGAGGCTGCATAGAGCCAACACTGTCACTGACACAGGCCTATTAACAGATCCCAGCTGCCCTGTCATTTAGCTTTCCAGCTTTCCAATTTATGACCAACAGGAGGTTCTGCTCCCAGGAATGCTCCAGCCATCCACCTGTACTTCTCTGGTTTTCTTCTATGACTCAGCCAAATGCAAAAATCAAGGACAATACACTCACTGCTTTTACACTACAGTAGTTTCATCTGATTCTACCCCAGAACATAGACACTGAAGAGTTAAGTATATACATAAATCCTTTCTGATAAAAAAAAACCTTTGGAAATCAGAATGGCATGAAATACCTTTTGTTGTTGCTATTACTGGGGATTGAACTTGGGGCGTCACACATACTAGGCAAATGCTCTACCACTGAGATACATACATCCCTTCGTTAAAATTTTATTTTGAGACAGGGTCTCACTATGTTGCCCAGGCTGGCCTTGAACTTGTGATCCTCCTGCCTCAGCTTCCTGAGTAGCTGGGATTACAGATTGGTGGACCACAGTGCCCAGCTCCGAAATACAATTCATATAAAATTCCCAAACAAGTCACACTAATTGTAACTAGCTTGGGTAGTGTTGAGTAAGAAAAATCCTGACCATTGTCTAATCCTTCACTATTTAAAATCTGGCTGGGTTTGGAGCAAAACCCTAACCCCCATGGCCTTTGTTCTACAGATAAAGACAATTGTGATGGATGTGGAATTTCCACTAATCAAATCAGAATTGGAAGCAATTGATGTCAAGTTATTGAGTGCTGAAACGACATTGTTCTGGAATGGCGAAGGTATGATGGTCACGTTCATCCCAGGGGGTTTAAACTCAGGGTGCCCCATCCAGCAGCTGTCTTCAGACCGGGGAGTGGCCACTTCTGCCCCTTGGCCTCGAGAAGCTGCCATCCCTGCACCCAGGTTAGGTTTAAAGCCAAAGCACGGTTCCAACTGCTTGCCCAGTCCAAAGAGGGCACATTTGTGTTGCTTATACCAGCACTGGGCAAAGAGCCCTTTGGCCAAGAGATCCTAATTTTTCCAAACTGGGCTGGGGGAGGCCTGCCCTTTCTTGCTTTCTACCCAGTGTGTCCGAGTCAGCAAAGTACTGTACATCTCAGTGGCCTGGCACTGGAAAAGCAGAAGGAAGTGTAGCCCTCAGGGCAACCTTCTTTCATTCCACCACCCGGCAGGAGGAGGCCCCTACCTTCCCACTCTCCTGGCCCCTCTAGCACCCCACAGTCCCCTCTCAGGCTCCTCTTCCCTCAGGACCTCGAGTGTGCCTTTGCCACCCTTCAGTCCCACTCCGCCATGCCTTGCTCCTCTGCTCTCAGTGAGAAGTGGGATCAAATGTTCTTTTTTTTTTTTTTTTATTTTTGTGGTACCAGGGATCGAACTCTGGTCCTTGTGCTTGCGCAGGGATCAAATGTTCTTGTCACACCCTTGAAATCGGGGTCTGTCTGGACTTTCCTGTGCGGACCACGCTCCCTTCCTCCCCTCCTGCGAGGACATGGCTCTTCTCCTGAGGCTCCAGGCCCTGCCTCTTGGCAGAGAGCCCCACACCTCTGGTGTTCTGCTCAGGATTAGCGGGGCTGGGGCTCACGGTGGGGTGGGGGCTTTAACTTCAGTTAGTCTGGGGTTCCTGGGTGACATGAGAAGTCCACAGATCTGGAGATGCGGAAGTCCTGTTCCAACAAGTGCACACTACTCCTCTGGATTTAATTTCAGGGAGCTCACAATGATTTCTTCTGCTTCTTGACCTAGAACAGGAGACGGATTTGGATGTTCTGGGATAATGGTGTTAACCTAACTCAGAAAGTTTCCACCTTGCTGAGTTGTTGATTGCATAAGATTCCTTTACTCTTATGTTTCAGGTGTGTTTCACTATATTCAAGAGATGCGAGAAATTCTGTATAACTTGCAGAACAGAATACAAAAAGCAAAACAGAATATAGAAGGAATTACACAGGTCATGGAGGTAAGCAAGCTGCAGGGTTGTGAGCGGGGCTCAGTGGAAGCCTAGGACAGGTCTGGGGCCTATGGCAAGTGCCATGTGTGACCGAAGACAGGGACCCTGTCCTTTGATGCTACAGTGATGTCAGGGTGGTCCCGAGGTAGAAAGAGCCCAGTCACTCCGGGAAAGTCAGTCGTGTTCCATTCTGTTGAGCTCAGATGGTGGGGGGGGCACGCATGTGTGGCAGGCTGGCACTAGGAACAGGGATGGGAAGAGACACACAGACCAGTGCTGCAGGGAGTAAGCTTGATGCTCAGAACAGAGGCGGGGCTGTTTCTTTACCTCGAGCTCCTTCCAAAACACTGAGGGCTCCTTCACCAACTTCCCCCATGATTTGTCTTCAGCACCAGAATCTGCAAAAACATTGGCATCTACATATCCAAAAGGATGTCTTCTGTTTCCAGATTACTTCCTTTATTAGTACCTATTTGCAGTTCATACTGTTTACGTTCCTTGTGTGGAGTTAGTACGTGGACATACAGGCTGCTTCTAAGATTTAGCTGTTCAGAGCTGTGCTGCTGTAAACATGGGTGTGCAGGTATCTCTGTAATAGGACGTCTTTAACTCTTCCGGGAAGACACCTAGAAGGGGACTAGTGGAATGAGGGGTCAACTAGAACTCCTGGTTGCAGTGTTTTGAGGAATCTCCATACTGATTTCCATAGCGGTTGTACCAGTTTGCGTTCTTACCAGCAGGGTTGAAGGGTTCCTTCCCCACCCGGCCCCGGAGCCTCGTCAGATTCTGTTATTTTTTGATTTCTTGATGGTGGCCATTCTTTCTGGTACAAGATGGAATCTCAGTATAGTTTTAATTTGCGTTTCGCTAATGGCAAATGATGTCAAGCATTTCTTCATGTATTTATTGGCCATTTGTACTTCTGTGAAGTGTCTATTCATTTCATTTGCCCATTTTTGGGGGGTCTTTTATTTTGAGGGGTCTAATTTTTTTTGAGTTCTTTATATGTTCCAGATAGGACTCCTGTGAGGAATAGCTGGCAGAAATGTTTAGCTGTAGGTTATCTTTCACTCTGTTGGCTGTTTTCTTTGCTGTGCAGAAGCATTTTAATTTGACATGATCTCATTTGTTGATTCTTAGTAGTATTTCCTGCATAACTGGGGTTCTGTCTATTTTGTCTTCTAGCAGACTGTTTCTATTCTAACATTTAGTTATTAGATCCATTTTTATTTTAGTTGAGTACATGGTGATATATATGGGTCTAGACTCAGTCTTCTGCATGTGGAGAGCCAGTTTTCTCAGTACCATTTATTAAAGAGCCCATCTTGGGCCAGGGATTTAGCTCAGTGACTCTGCCGCCTGCCTTGAAAGCACAAGGTCCCAAGTTTGATCTCCTGTACCAAAAAGAAAAAAAGAGCCCATCTTTCCTTCAGTGTATGATTTTGGTTCCTTTGTCAAAGATCAAATGGTTGAATTGCTTGGAGATTGTTTCTGCATCCTCTATTCTGTTCCATTGATCCTTACATCTGTTTTGGGGCCAGTACCATGTTTTTGTCACAGTAGCTTTGTGGCATAATGTCAAGTCTGGATGGTGAGGCCGCCTGCTTTGCTTATTTCTACCCAGGGTTGTTTTTGCTATCCTGTGTGTCTTCTGGCTCTATATGAATCTTAGGATTGTAAATGACCATTCTTCCAAAATTGATGTATGGGTTTCATGCAATCCCGATCAAAATTCCAACACATTTTTCCAAAAGGAAGTCCTAAAAATCCTCCTCCCATTAATTTGCAATGCCTACTAAGTAAATCTATTTCATTTTAAAAATGATTATGTTTAAGCTATATTTTTCTATCAGCCTAGCAAAATCAAACCATCATGATATCCCACAGGCTCACTTTGATTCACTGCCCCAGGGCCTTCACTAAAACGGGACTTCAGATTATGCAACATCCACTCTTCTTCCATGAACCCCTGGTTGAAGATTTAGGACTTCCAAATCATTACAGATTGATGTTTACATCAGGGCACATGTCTCCTACTTCAAGAATTCTCAGCATTTTCAGTGTGACACTTTTCTGTGTTATAGCTCACAGAAATTTTATCAGTATCCACTCTGATACTAAATGGTAGACAAAAACCATTGCTCACCATCATTTTTTTCTGATTCAGTTTTCATTTGAATGGAATGTTCCCTCAAGTAGTTTTCTCAGAAAGTTAACATAAGCAGAGGTGCCTGTGGCCCCAAGGGGGCACAGATCACAGAGAACTAATCTCCAGTCTGCGATAAGCAAGGGACAAGGAGACTCACAGCAAAGAGGGGACTGAGAAGGAGTGAGACCAAACACACTGCCTCCAAAATGTCTTTTCTCACCCCTGAGTTTTCCTCCAGGATTGGTCAGCCAACCCTCTGTTTGAAAGAAAAGACAACAAGAAAGAGGCCCTGTTAGACCTGGATGGAAGGATGGTCAATCTGAACAAGCGCTACCCTGCTGTCAAGGAGGCAGGCATGAAGATCCAAGCCATGGTGGCGGTAAGGACATGCCTGGGAGGTCCATCAGGAGTCCACTTGCTCTTTCCCAGAAGGGAAAGTTGGTATAGTCACACCTTCACAGCCAATGCAGATCTATCTTCCTGGGATAGGCTGCTGTTTGTCAGTATCTTGCATGGTTTCCACCCACGAGTGTGACGTGGATGGTGAGGAACACTGGAATGTGCACATGCGCATTCTGATGAGTACAATGTGACCACACATCTGCTTTGCTGCCTGGGATGTAGGTCATGCTCCTCTACCAAGAGTCTCCAGAGTGTGTGTGGGGGTCCACATCCCTGCTGGCCTCCGGGGTCACATTCCAAGGAAGAATGCACAATGGTGGCCTGGCACTGCTGGGCCGTCCACTTGCATTTCAGCACATCTCTGAGGAGAATGCTGAAGGTGGGGGTTTGCATCAGCCTGGGAAAAGGAAAATTCTGGAGCTCAAGATATATCTGGGGCCCATTGTGGGTGTGATGGTGCATGGTGTACAATGGTGTGGACTTTGGTGATGGGCTGCCACGTCCAGACGTACCAGTGGGCCCTATGCAGGTTGGACTATGCAGGCTGTTCCTATGGCCACCTCATTGCTGACAAGATTGTTGCCCCAGTGGAATGACTTGGCTGGACCAAAAACTACTGTGCTTCCTGGCCAGGTCCTTTCCCTTCCCCCTTGCTTGCCATGGTGCAAGAAGATCTCACTCTTAGATGTGAGAAGTTTGCTTTAAGGTCAGGCAAGCTCAGAGCAGAGCACCAGGAGCTTACCAAAAGGGCAAGCGAGGAAGCAGGGCCAGAGGGTTGAGGCTGAGCATCGAGGAGCAGGAGCCCATGAGGCTGAGGTCTGTGAGCCGCCCCTATTCCCCACATTTGATGAGATAGCACTGCCTCTGTGCCAGGCTTTGTTACCATGTTCATCTACTCCTGTGACAGTCATTCAGCGTTTCTTTCTTATACTAAAATTATTTGAGCCCGTGTCTTCTCTCTGCAATTGCAACTGCCTGAAAGCACAGACTGAGTCATATCTATCCTCCTGTTCCCCTATGGCACTCAGTGGCCTACAGAGTCATCCATCCACCCTCCCACCCACCCACCCCCTCTCTCTCACTAGTTACCCACTCCTGCTGTGGCCCAGGCATGCTGCTGAGCGCGGGGATAAGTGGTAGAGAGGACAGCCCATCCTTCCTGTCCTGAAGCTGGACGTCAGAGAAGCCCACAGAGTTGTTGTCTGTGCTATGGTCACAGAAACAACAGATCAATAGAGGAACACAGAGGGGTCAGGGATGGAACCCAGCCTGAGGCAAATAGAGGACCCTCACGGAGGGTCTTCATGAGGAGGTGGCATCTGAGAAGATCAGAAGAAGCCTGATTTGGCAGGAATGGGGGGCCTGGCCAAGCTCTGCCATGGAAAAGAGCCAGGCACATCCTGGAAGTTCACAGCCAACCTGTGTCCCAGAGCCCTTGGACAAGGATGAGGGTGGCCCAGGGGCACGCAGTGGGCTCCCCAGAGTGAGCCAGCGTGAAGGCAGCCGGCCATGCATGCACTTCTGCTTGCAGGAAAATGCAGAATTGTTCAGAGCAGACACGTCCAGCCTGCCCTGGAAGGATTATGTCAACTACCTCGACAGGATGGTCCTGGAGGGGTTCAACCAGTTCATTCGCAAATCTCTCAACTACCTCATCAGCAACATGACTGTGGACGTAAGTTGTCCCTGTAAAGTAACTGTGTGTGTGAATTATAAATATAAGGGAAGTCCTGTGCTGGAATCCAGTTGGGAGTTTCCTGATGAAATGGCAGACTTTCATTTTATAAATAAATCGATTTATTGAAATCTACCTAGAGCAGAGGTGGTGAACCTGCGGCATGCGTGCCTCAGGGGGCACACAGGGGCCCTCTGTTGGCACGTGAGCCAAGTTGCCCAGCATCGCCCCAGCAGCTTCGCGTCGGACACACATGGGGCAGTGTTGGCACTTGGTGATAAATAAGTGGATTTGGGGTTGCAGTTTGGGCACTCGGTCTCTAAAAGGTTTGCCATCGCTGACCAGGGTGACCAGCTTATCCTGGTTTTAAAAGTGAAAGTCCTGCCTCCTGGGAACCCTACAAGTCCAGGGCCCTTGGGACTGCTGGTCAGCTTAAACCTGTGGTGACAAATCAGCAGACTGCCTAAGCAGATCTGAAGCATGGCCCTATCTTGCTGCAGTGGGCAGGGGTGGGGGCCTGGCAGCAACGTTGGCCACTGACCTACCTGTCCCCCCACTGTCAGGCTGAGCAGAAGCACTAACCCGGTCACCAAGAGGGGCTCTGGGGAAGGCCACCAAGAAATGTTCCCCAGGTTTCCCCCGGGGGATGCTTCCTCCCATACCTGAGTCCTTTTCATCACAATGGCTCCCAAATGGTTAGTGGGCACAGTAGGGACCTCATGGCCACCTGTGGGCCTTGACACACAGTGAGAGTACCACTGATATGACAGAAAGAGCCTCGAGGGTAACCTCCACCCCAGCACCCTGCAGGCAGGGCTGGCAGTTTCTGCTTAACAGCCTCACCAGGGTGTCCAGGAGCAGAAGGGCTGTGGCCATGCACACGTGGGACCTATGGGCTTGTCCCTCACTGTTGTATGCAGCTCTCATATGCTGGGTTCATTTAGCCCTCATAACAGGGAGCTGGGGCAACTACTGCCTCCATTCTACCAAATAATGACCTTTGTTTTATGTATCTTCGGAAACTGAGAGTTAAGGGAGCTGTCCATGGCCGTCTAGTGGGGAATTAGCAGCAGTGGGCTTAGAACCCAGAGATCCATTTCCCTAGCCACTGCCTTTCATGCTCCAGCCTGCTCCTCTAGCTCTGGGCCCTGGGGCTGTGTTGGGTCCCAGTGGACGGGACGGCCCAGGCAGAGGGCCACATAGGAACATGCTCCCCAAAGCTGCCCAAGCCAGCAAGAGGGAGCCACACCATGGATGGTCTTGGAGTGGACAGTCTGGATGTTGAGAAATGTTTGAAAGGGGCTTGGGTATTGACCGTGATGACTTATTTCAGGAGAGCGTTGCACCCCTGTTTGAGATCTGCATGGAGCTGAATGAGGAAGGCCTAACCTTCAATCCATCGCTGGAGGTGGGCTCGGATTTCGGCTTCCTGGCACTGATCGATGGCCTGATCACTGACATCTACAATGTCGCCAGGCTAATTCCCCGGCTGGCCAAGGGCAGGATGAACTACAAGGTCAGTCCTGGCTTACTGCAGCTCCATCTGCTTTCCAGGTGTAGATGTCAGTTGCTTTCTGGCTTGGAATTCAGCCTTCCTAATGCAGCAAGGCCTGGTGTGGATGTGTTAGGTGACAGTGGCTCTGCACATAAGGGGGGACCCAGAGGTTTGTATTCTATGGGTCCCCCAGGACTACAAACCCTACTCCTCGCTTTCCTTCCCAAAGCTGTCCTTCCTCCAGAGGCCTCTCCTCGCTGGCCTGCCTGGGTATCGACCCCCACAAGGTACAGGAGTGGTCGGGCCCTTCCTTCTCCTCTCCTCTTCTGTTCCGTCATTTAAACCTGGGGCTCGAGCCACACTCAGGTGTCGTGACGCACATTTCTTCCCATCTTCTGCACCCATCTACTCCAAGTTCATGAAATACCCGAGCCAGGTCAGAGTCGGGGGTGCAGAAGTCACAGGAAAGTAGGCTCCTCCAAAGAAAGGCTAGAGTGGGCTCGCTGATCAGAGCATTTGCTTGTATAACTGGAGGGAAAAAAATCAGAAGACTTCAGTTTCCATCACAGAGGGGAGTCTTTTGACAGATTCTGGCCCATTCACACGAAGTCGGAGTTATAAATGAGCCAGGGGTGGACAGATGTACCACATTACCAAATGTCTATGAAGTTGTAGAGCAAAGTTTAGCATAGCGATGCGAACTGAGAGCTTTCAGGGATAACCAACAGTCAGCTGCAGCACGCTTGCCATAGGTTCGCCACCACTGGTTTAGAATCTGATTTCATTTGTTCAAGTTAAAACAAATCTGTCTCTTTGAGGATACGCTCAAAGCTGTTGCGTGCTTTTTTTTTATGGCAACAAAGATGAGGGTAGGAGGGAAGAAGGACAGAGTTGTTTCATATACTTCTACATTGTTTGAATTTTTCTGTACTAGGCACATGTATTATTTGTAATAACAAACAGTCACAGCAAGATGCTCTGTACTACCAGGAAAAGGAGGACAGGTACATGTTCGTGTACATTTGGACGTGGGGAAGTTGTGTACATTTGTGTGTGAATAAGATTTGCATCTGTGTGCACGTGCATACATGTGTGTGCACATGTGCATGTTTGTGTATGTGGTCATGTGTGCATCGCACATTTGCATGTGTGGATTTGTGTGTTGTGTATTGTATGTGTGTGCTTGTGTGTATTTGTGTGTGGTCATGTGTGTGCATTGCATTGTGCATGTGTGTGGGTTTGTGTTTCCGTATGTGTGTGCATATTTGCACGTGTGTGTGTGTAGTGAGGACACAGGAGGAAAGTGCGCCCTCCTGGGTAGGTCAAATGTGGCTTCTGAGATGTGCAGCCACGACAGCTACTCCTGAAGGGGGGAGGAGTTTCCAGGGCGTCATACAGAGGCAGAGGCCTGTGATTTCTAAGCCACAGAAAGGTGACTCATCTGGCCCCGGGGCATGCAACAGGCTGTCCAGGGTTCAGAATAGTTTGCCACCAGTCACGCAGACACTAGATAAACAAGTTCCCTCAGAGTCAGAGCGGAAGGCTGCTCTCACTCCCACCCAAGTGTCCCCAAACCCAATAGGTGCTGTGGACAGAGCTTCCCCCCCGCCCCCAGCTCTTATGGTGCACGCGCACGTGCGCGCGCGCGCGCACACACACACACACACACACACACATTGTCTCAGAGAGACCCAGCAAGGGCTCATGGCTAAGGGTCTCTTCAGAGACGACCAAGTCTGACAGGTGCCAAGCAGTGGAAGGTGGTGACAGAGCTGGGTACCAGTAGCTGGGCCCTAGACCACTTCTCAGAGGCCCATACACTGCCAATGCGATGACAGGGGTGCACACCCGGAGGAGCTGGGTCAGAGGTTGGGGACCACGAGCAGAGCCTGGGGTGAATGCAGGCTGCCTGCCTAAAGCCATGGGGTCCCAGGGGAAGTGGGTGGCCATGCAGGGGAGACTGGGCAGGAGAACCCCACAGCCAGACCCCAGCAGGCCGGACCATGGCTCTCTGGCCCCAGTGAGAGGGAGAAGGCTCCATGGTGCTGACTCCAAAAACACCTGCATCAGCTTGAAGTCCTGGGGGAGCGCTTGCCTGGGAGCAGAGGGGGCCACCGAAGGGAAGGGTCACATTCCCACACCCACAGTCCAGGCTGGACACTGGAGCACTCGGTGCTTTCCTGAGCCACAGTGAGGCCATGGGCTCCCCCCACACGCTCCCTCCCGGAAGGTCAGATGTGTGCAGCCTGCCCTAGCCTGGCCTGGCACCTTCCAGACTTTCCTTACCCCTGGCCTGTCCTCCCAGCCCACCCATGTGCCTGGCACAGGCAGGACCAGAGCATGGCCAGCTACCGGTGGGCCTCCCACCAGCGACAAGCCCCACCGCAGCCCCACACCCACGCTCCCAGCCATATCTGGCTCGTGTCCTCCTGCTGCCGTTCCCAGTGGTCTCCCCTGTCCGTGACCCCAACTGCCACCCAGTTTTCCCGTTCCTATCACCTGTTGGGGTGTGAACTCTCCCTGGCACCAGCAGGGAGCTCAGCAGCCATATGATCCCACCTATTCCGCTCATTACACGTGCGCATGCACTACTCTGGGGTCCTCTAGTCACAGGACCCAGTGGTTCTCTTGCTTACTTATACCAGTTCAGTTGGGTTTTCTGCCACCTCCAACTGAACAATCCTGTCCAGCATAGGGCCTGAGCTCAGCTTCAGCCACCAATAGCAGATTCCTTCCATTCCCAAGCACTCTGCATCTTCCCACCTCAGAGCCTTACCACATGCTTTGTTGTTGCCCCAAAAGCTGCTTCTCTTGCTCTTTGTTTGCCTGCCCATCAGCTCTCAACAAAGGTCATTCCTCAAGGCCATTCCTGACTTCCTCATATTACTCCTTGAAGCCACTGCCAGAGCTGGGGCGTGTTGTCTCTGGCGCTCTTAGAAGAATGCCTGCCCACGCACCTGGACACTGTGCTCCATGTGATCCCTGCTTGTCTGGCCCCGGTGTCTGTCCCAGCCTGGGTGCACAGCAAGGGCTGAGTACATAGTGGGTGAACGAACCGTGAGTCATCTTGGGGTCCAACAGGCAAAAGCCACATGCAGCAAATCTCCTAGAACATTGCAAATTGGCAGATTTCCCTATGTCCGGTCTTGAGGGCATAGCTGCACTTTCACGAGCAGAGAGCTGCTCTCCAAAGCAGAGGGAATAAGCCCAAATCGTGAACCCAGGAAGCATCCTCACCTGCTGGCTTCTTCCCCTGTCAGACAGACCTTGAAGACATAACAGAGCTCATAAAGATGAGGGAGGAGCTGTCCAGCCTGGTCATCAATGCCATGAAGGAGGCTGAAGGGTACCAGGACTCCCTGGAGAGGTACTCCTACCTCTGGATGGACGACCTCCAGGAGTTCATGAAGAATTTCCTGATCTTCGGACATATGCCCACCCTGGAGGAATTGGATACCCTGATGCAGGACACTGTCCCCAAGACCCCACCCAGCCTCCCTCAGTTCCAGCAGCAGGTACACGCCACCTCTGCCCCCAGCAGAGGGTCACCGTGTAAAAACTAGGCGTAGGACTAGGGTGGTAGCTCAGTGTGAAAACCCTGGGTTCTATCCCCACAATGGCAAAAATAAAACAAAAACACACCTGGGTGAACAGATCTAAAGTGTAGGTTTTATTGTTCTTTGGGCCTGGTGAGGCCAGCAGGTCCAGAAACAACACCCCTGGAGAACCTTGTTTACTACTCACAGCTTGTCACACCACACAGGGCCACACAGGGGAGCACCAGGGCCGGTCAGAAGGCAGAGGCAGCAGGGCACCCGGGGACAGCGGGCTTCTTGTGGTTTCCATGGGAAGCAGTGGACAGAGTGAGCAATGTGAACTGATTGATGTGAATGACTGCGGGCCCCGGGCCACGGGGCTGTGCCGAGCTGTCCAGGTGCTCCCCTGGGGTGGTCCAAGCAGAGGAAGTCACTGAGCAGGAGAGGTGGAGGGCCCTCCGGGAGCCTGTGAGCAGGGTCACTCTGGAAGCTTCACTCTGTCCCGAGACAGAAGTCCTGCTGGCAGTGCCGGATCCCCCCTCCGACACTTTCCCTTTTGGGCAGAGTCCGTGGGGGCCGCCTGGGGAAACCTCAGGCTCCCTGTGCTGCCCCCCGCCTTGTGCTGCTGCCCAGGGAAGGAGCATGTGGCCGGGGCGAGGCAGACATTGACTGGGGCCTGCATCCGTGTCCCCAGATCGACTCCTACGAGAAGCTGTACGAAGAGGTGTCCCGGTGTGAGAACACACGCGTCTTCCACAGCTGGCTGCAGTGCGACTGCCGCCCCTTCAAGCAGGCCCTGCTCAACACCATCAAGCGCTGGAGCTTCATGTTCAAGCAGTACCTGAGTGACCACGTGGTCAACAGGTGCGGTTGGCCCGCCTCCCATGCTGGCCATGCCCTCAGAGCCAGGAAGTGTTTGAGGGCGCAGGAAATGGGGGCATCCACTTCAGTTCAGGGGAGGCATGGGGGTGAAGGTCAGATTTTTGACCCAGCAGCAGGTGTCAGCTGGCCATGAACGAATGCTCTACTCCCTCCCCCAGCCCCTATTTACTGAGCACTTACTATGTCCAGGCGCCAGAGGCTGTGCATACTGTCACAGAGGGTCCCTTTTTCCCCTCAGCCTCACGGACCTAGAAGCCTTCATGAAGGTTGCCAGGGTGGGCCTGACAAAGCCGCTCAAGGAGGGGGACTACAACGGCTTGGTGGCGGTGCTGGGTCACCTGATGAAGGTCAAGGAGAGGCAGGTGGCCACTGACGGCATGTTCGAGCCCCTGCAGCAAACCATCGAGCTGCTCAAGTCGTACGGGGAGGATCTGCCGGAGGAGACCTACCTGAAGCTGCAGGTGGGGAGCGGAGGGGACGGGTGCCATCCGTGGTCTGGGGGGACCGGCTGTGAGAGGCACAGTGCCCCTGTGGTCACGGAGACCTGGTGGTCACAGCTCGAGGCTGAGACGCTTCAGGAGGGACACCTGCTGGACTCCAGGTCCCTGTGGGTGGCCAGGCCAGGAAGGAGGCTTCCGGGAGAACAGGCCCCTGGAGACACCTCCAAATTTGGAAAAGTTCTATTTGATCTTTTTTTGGGTACTGGGGATCGAACTCAGGACCTTGTGCTTGCAAGGCAGACGCGGTGCCACAGAGTCAAATCCCCAGCCCGTATTTGATTACTTTGTTGGGTAAAACACCTTCACATCCCATGTCACCCTCCTGGGCCCGGGGCCCTGGAGAGCAGAGGTCAGAGCAGAGCCCTGGAGATGGGTGTCATCCAGGAGCTGCCACCCCTCTGCCTGCGTGTGGTCCCGTAGTTTTCATCTCTCCCAGACCCGTCTGCTCAGCTCCCTCCCTCGGGTCCATTTACACCAGGCCACTCCCCTGCCCGAAGGCACAAGCCCAGGTGACAAGGGGAACAGCGGCCAGCAGGGCTGTGGCCTCGCAGATCCCAGGCTGAGTGCTCACTGAGGAGCCTGTTGGGTGGGAACCACAGGCGATGGGGCTCGGGCCTACTCTCTCACCCAAGCCCAGCAGAGGCCTGGGGGCTTGAGGCATGTGGCCAGTCCCGGGGGGATGCCACCTGGGGTGTAAGAATGGACAAGAGGCCAGCTACTGCTGACAGACCTTGAGGGCTGTCAACCTCAGAAGAAACAGAAGCAGCTCCTCCATCTGCAGGCCAAGAGTTCATGGGCCGTGATTTGTTTGTTTGCTTGCTTTACAGTATTTTATGATAGTAAGTACACTATCTGCCCGAGTGCGGAGAACTTGGAAAATAAGGAAATTCATCTGATTGTGAGAGCCATTCTGGAAAGGGCAAAATGATGGAGAAGGGGGACAGGGCAGTGATCAGTGGGACAGGGGGGCAATGGAGGGCACAAAACGACTTCAGATCCTCGGGTGTGTGGCTGCACAGATGTCTACACAGGGTGGAACTGCACACGCCTACACGCATGCACACACATGCACACAGACAAGCGGACTCAGGTGTGAAAACCTGGCGAGCAAGGCATCCTGTGGTCTGGTTAAGAAAAACGCGTGTACCGGGCTCCTGGTTCGCCACCCCAGAAGGCTTGGTGAGGCCCAAGGAGCTTTGAGCTATTTTTGCAGCCTCCTAGGAGACCACAGTTATTTCCCAGCAGAAAGGTTTTTTTAAAAAAAATTTTTTTGAAAAGAGACCTCCCTGGCCTCTGCCTCCCACAGGAGCTGCCCGAGCAGTGGACAAACACCAAGAAACTGGCCATTCAGGTGAAGCAGAACGTGGCTCCTCTCCAGGCCAACGAGGTCAACATCCTGCGGCGGAAATGCCAGCAATTTGAGGTGCCGGCCTGGGCAGGGCGACAGGAGGCAACGTGGGGGCTGCAGCAGCCTTGGGTGCTTGGGCTGGGGAGGAGCTGGCGCCGCCTCCTGGTGCAGCCGAGGCTCTGGCCTTGCTCTCCCGCAGCTCAGGCAGCACGAGTTCAGGGAGAACTTCCGGCGGGAGGCCCCGTTCTCCTTCAGCGACCCCAGCCCCTACGCGGCCCTGAATAAGGTACTTCACGAGAGGGTGGAGCGGGCCATGATGTGGGCGCCCGGTGCTCGGGCGACTTTTCTCAAGCTGTTATTCTTCCATGGGACTGGTCTAAAGCCACACATGTGTGTGTGCACACGTGTGTGCATGTGAGTCGACAGGAACGTGCAGGCGCATGCATCCCCCAGCTCCCACTCGGTTGCACTCCTAGGGCTCGGGTCAGCTCCAGGCCCACAGCCACGCCCACATGGACCGCCTGCCAGGCTCCCGCACCCCTCCCCTCCGCCCAGCTCCTCCTCACTCATCCCAACTCTGTTCCCAGACGCTCACCCTTGAGTCCTAGCTCTTGCTGGCCCACCCAGTCAGCCAGATGCCAAGTTCCCTGTATGTCCCCTTCCCTCTTCTGTCGAAGTCCATGGTATGTTTCCACTGCACAGTTCCCACGCCATAGGCCCAGCCAGCTCTCAGGCTGGGGTGCCATGGGCTCCACCAGCAGAACAGGGCCCCCGCCAGCGCCTCCACTCGGGGCGCAGCGCCTGGCACCAGGACCTCTGCCTCATTCAGCAGCCGGGAGCTCCAGGGTCACCTCCCTCTTCCCTGCTCTGCCACCGGCTCAGCTCCGGAGCCCACTGCTCCACGAAGCCAAGTCCTCCCTTTCCTCTCCAGCAGTTTTCCCTGTCCCACCCCTGACCACGATGCATACATGGGCACTCTCCTTCGAAGCCCCAGAGCTGTCAATCCATGGGGCCCAGGCTGGGCTCTCTGGAGACATCTAAGGAAGAGAAGCCCCCATGGCCATCCGAGTGAGTCTGTGACCTCCAGTGAGCACGCCCAGGTCTGGGCACCCAAGAGTGAGAGCACAGCCTGGCTGGGCTGGCACAGGTTGCCTGAGTGCCCGGCTGTCTTGTGTAGCTGTGCATCCACACAAATGTGCCATAGGTATCACAGTCGTCCCTCGGCATGCACAGGGGACAGGTTCCAGGGCCCTGTGGTCACCGGATGCTTAAGGCTCAGCTCCCTTATGTAGAACGGCACAGTGGCCTGGAACCTGCGCCCAGTCTCCTGTCCTTTACGTCATCTCTGATGACTTGTAAGCCCTCGCTCCTATGATGTGCACGCTGTGTAAATATCACACCGGGGCTGGGGATTTAGCTCAGTGGTTCTGGTGCCTGCCTCACAAGTGGAAGGACCTGAGTTTGATCGCTGGTACCAAAAAAAAATATTATCACACTGAGCACACGGAGCACCATGACCAGGGGGAATCTGTACATGCTCAGTACAGACACAAATTTTCTTTCAAATCCTCTCAACCCACATTTGGTAGAATTCAAGGGTATAGAACCTGCAGGTGCCGACCTTGAGCTTTCGAGGCAGGCGGTGGAACCACTGAGCTAAATCCCTGGCCCACTCATCTCATTTTTTAATAAGATAAAAATATAGTATGGAAGTGGGGGAAATTGCGAGATAAATCCCAGCAGGAAATGAGGCATCTGCACTGTTCATTCAAGCCAGTTGCGGGCTGGAGCCTGTAGAGCCCCAGAGCGGGCAGAGACCGGGCAGAGGGGGCAGCTGGGCCGTCCTCCTCCCAGCTGGACCACTGTCTCTGTTGTGCGAGGAGGGCTGGAGGGGGAGGTTTACCGGACATGGCAGAAGAAAGGGGGCAGGAGGGCAGGAGGGGGTGCAGGCCTGGGCTGGGCACGTGCTGACAGCCCCTCCTACCCCAGCAACAGAGAAGCATCAAGGCCATGGAGACGGTCATGGAGGCCCTGTGCAAGTCCGGCAGCCTGTTTGAGGTCCCGGTGCCCGACTACAAGCAGCTCAAAGCCTGCCGCAGGGAGGTCTGCCTGCTCAAGGAGCTCTGGGACATGATCGGCATGGTGAGGCGGGGCTTGCTGGGGGACTCGGCACCACCAGGGCTGTCAGGGCCCCCAGGGAACCCCAAGATGGGTGGCGGCGTCCTGGAGCATGTCTGTGGACCCAGCCCTCTGTGTGGGGGGTTGTCTTCCCTCCATCTGCGGCCTCTCTTCTCTCTCCTGTCCCTTTTCCTTTCCTTTCCCCCTCACCTCGTTCTCTCTCACCTCACCACCTTTGTAGGGACTCCAGTCCCCTCCAAGGGGGCTCCACCCACTGACCTGGTTACCTACAAAGGGGCCACCTCCTCACACCGTCACTGCGGGCTGAGGGGCCCAGAGCGACTTGGGAGGGACATAAGCATTCAGACCGGGGCACACAGCCCCTTGAAGACTCTGCGGCTTTGATCTGCATTCCCTGCTGACCACCAGGCTGGGCCCTTCCTGTGCTTCCTCGAGGACTCTATCCTCGCCACTGCATGTCTGTTCATGTCTTCTGCTCACACTCTAGTTGGACTTTTTTGGTTTTTACGGTTGAGTTTTGAGAGTTCTTCTACACTCTAGAAACTAGTTCTTTACCAGATACACCGTTTGGGAATATTTCCCCCAGTCTCTAACCTGTCTTTGCGTCATCTTACCAAGTTTGTTTTGCAGGGCAAAAGTTTTTGATTTTGATGAAATCCATGTTATCAACTTTTCCTCTCATGGAGCATGCATTTGGTGTTAAATCCAAGAACTCTTTGCTTAGATGCTGAAGATTTTCTCCTAGGCCTTTATTCTAAAAGTTTCATGTTGTTACGTGCTCCATGTACATCTGTGATCTATTTCGGGTTAATTTTATGTAAGGATTGAGGTTTGGGTCAAGCTTTGATTTTTAGCTCACGGATGTCTGATTTTCTTGAGCACCATTTGTTGAAAAAGCTGTGCTTCCTCCACTGAATTACATTTGCACCTTTGTCCAAAGTCAGTCAGGCATACTCGTGCAGTGCAGTTTGTGGGGTCTGTATGCTGTTTCGTGGATTTTTGAGTCTATTCCTCCACCATATCACTGGGGCTTGATCACCATAGCTATCCAGGAAGTCTTGATATCCGTTAGGGTGACTCCTCCCACTTTACTTTTCTTTGTTAAGATTGTTTAATATTCCTGGACTTTTACCCTTTGATATGCATTTCAGAATAATCCTGTTATGCCTACAAAAAAATGAAACCTGACTGGGATTTCTATAGATATTGCATCAAATCTCTAGTTTGATTTAGGGAGATCTGATATCACTATTGTGTTGGTTATTTCATGCCATGAACATTGTCTGTCTGTCTTTGTTCCTTCTTTCATTTCTTCAACTGGCAATCTATAATTTTAGCATAAAGATCCTATACATGTTTTACTAGATTTATACCTAAGTTTTTTGTTTCTTCTTCGAAGTGATTGTGAGTGGTAGTGCGTCTTAAATTTTGGCTTTCATGTGTTGTTTTTGTATACACAAATGTGATAAATTTTTGTGTTTAGTTTTATCATATGACCTTGCTAAAACTCACGTATTAGTTCAAGTGTTTTATATCTTTAAATAAATTCCTTAGGAGTTTTATACATAGACAATAATGCCATCTATAAATAAGGACAGTTTTATTTTTCCTTTCCAATCTTTCTGTCTTTTATTTCGTGCCTGTTGCAGGAGCTAGGACTTTCAGTGCTATGTTGAGTGAGACTGGCAGGCTCCTCCCTGCACCATTCCAATCTTAGAGGGAAAGCAACCCCTATTATATGTGATATTCACTATACATTTTTATATCAAGGAAATTGATTCTCTTCCTATTTTTGTACAATGTGTATTTGCTGGATGCTTTCAAATATCTTCTCTTGTCAGTCAATATGACTGCATGATTATTCTCCTTTAATATGGTGGATTTCATTGATTTTTAAATATTGGAATAAATCCCACTTGATCATGTGTGTGTGTGTGTGTGTGTGTGTGTGTGTGTGTGTTCAGTTCACTAACATTTTGTTGAGAATTTTTGTGTGTAAGTTCATGAGAGATACTGGTCTATCATTTTATTTTCTAGTGATATTTTTGGATTGGGTATCAGAGCACTCCTTGCTGTGCGTGGTGGTGCACACCTGTAATCCCAACCTTCTGGGAGGCTGAGGCAGGAGGATTGCCAAGTTCAAGCCCAGCCTGAGCAATTTAGTGACTTAGCAAGACCTTGTCTCAAAAAAATCACAAATGTAGCTCAGTGTGAAGGCCTTGGGTTCAAAAAACTAAACCAAAACAAAAGTGCTTCTTCCTCTTCTGTTTTCTTGAAGTCATTGTAGTATGACATCAGCTGTTTTAAATTCATAGAGGTTTATTTCACGGATCAGGATGTGGTCTGTCTTGGTGACAGTTCCGTGAGTACTTGTCCAGCTCTTCTGTGTCCTACTTTTAATTAGCAATTTAAGTTTAATTTCCAGGCTTGCAATTCCATAAGCCACTAAGTGTGTCCGTGGGTTGTGCATGCCTCCAAGTGTAATGGTGACATTGTTTCTCCTTTCAGTTCCATCAGCTTTTGTCTCTGTGGCTTAGTGTGTACACCATGAGTTGACCCTTTCTTTGTTATGTAACAACACCTAGTAAGGTAACAGTGTCCTCCCGAGGGCCCCCCAGCAAGAGTGGAGGTGATGGGGACATTCCCGCCACAGGTGAACACCAGCATCAACGACTGGAAGACCACCAAGTGGAAGGACATCAACGTGGAGCAGATGGACATAGACTGTAAGAAGTTCGCCAAGGACGTGAGGTCCTTGGACAAGGAGATGAAGGCCTGGGATGCCTTTGTAGGGCTGGACAACACCGTGAAGAACATGATCACCTCCCTGCGCGCTGTGAGCGAGCTGCAGAACCCCGCCATCCGTGACCGCCACTGGCAGCAGCTCATGCAGACCACCCAGGTATGCACAGAAACGGCCCATCCTCAGGGTGGGCCGGGCTGGGCTGCCCGGCTGTGGCTTAGCACCTGACACTGAGGAAGCTGGACAGGAACTGCCCAATTCAGCAAATGGTAAACAAATCTCCACGGCCCAGCTGCTCTCTTGAGGCCCCACTGATGCCAGGGACAGAGTGACAACATGTGGGCCCTGCTCTCGAGCCAGCAAAGAGAGGGAGAAGAGTGTGCTCTCTTAGGGGAGGAAAAGATTACTTTCCCCATGCCCGCTTAGGTTCTCTGCCTGACACCACTGTAAGTTGGACTCACAGCAGACAGACTAGCGAGGGAAGGACAGAGAGGACCGCGGGCCACGTGCATCCTACATGCGGGACAGGAAGCACCAAGGACTCGGGGACCTGGGCTCCGGGAAGAGCATGTGATGAGGCAGGGGCAGGGCTTGGAGCGCAGGGTGGTGCACCGCGGGCAAGCTGAGGCGGGCATGCGGGGCAGACCCCCAATGCCTGTGCTGGGCTGTGAGGGCCACGGGGTGTCTCTGCTGATTCATTCTCTCTGCCCGTGAAGAGGGGATCAGAGGCACCTTCACAAACCGTGAGGCAGGCAGCAGAGCGCGGAGCTTTGCTCCTGTCTGCTGCTTCTCGGTCACCCCGGTGCCACCTGGCCCTTGAGCCCCTGTGGGATGTCGGGGCGCTGTGTTCTGCTGACCCTCATCATCGGCCCAGCTGCAAAACCCTGGGATGTTGAGGAAGGATAAGAGCCCAGAGGAGGGAGGCGCTTGAAAGCCGAGGGGTGGGAAGAGCGGGAAAGCTCCATAGATGTGAGAGAACCACAGAGAGGAGCAGGTTCCCAGATCCCAGAGCACCCCCAGGCACCCCAAAGACCCCGGTGGTCCTCAGTGAACAACTAAAACCTCCACTGAGGGGGTGGGCTGGGCTCACGGAGGACCGGGCAGCACCCGGCAGGTGTTTCCCCAGCTTGCCCCGGAGCCCAGCGGTGGCGCGGCCAGGATCGGGACAGGGCGGTGGTCAGTTAGCTGCCGGGCCCTGCGAGGGAACACCAGAGACCATCGGGCCTAAAGGAGGGGAGTTCTTTCAGCCCCTGGTTTCAGAGGTCTCAGTCCATGTTGCCGAGCCCCATGGCCACCCGGAGTATCGGGCAGGAGTATGCCAGAGGGGCCGCTCGCCTCCTGGCAGAGAGGAACCCGAAGGGCCAGGTCCTGCTGTCCTCGGAGGGCTCTTCCCATCTTCCCAGCGACTGCACTTCTCTCCATCCCAGCCGCATCCTGGCTGTGACCACAACTTCGACACTCGGGCCTCCAGGGCCACTGCAGCTGGAAACGGCCCTGGGCCCACCTCTCTGCTGTTACTGGAGGGACACAGGAGCTCCCGGGGCAGGGGATTCGGTTCCTGGGTGTTGCTTACATCAGCAGCAGTGCCTTCTGTCTGAGCCCCAGAGGCTGAAGGCTGAAGGCAACGTGTGGACAGGCCCTGCTCCCGCTGGAGGCTGGAGGGGAGGCCGCATCCTCCTGCCTCTTCCTGCTGCTGGGGACTCCGGGTGCCCTTTGGCTCTGGCCACACCAGTCCAACTTCTGCCCGCTTCACCTTCACGTCTTCCTGTGTTTGAAACCCCGCTCCTTTTACCCCTGAGAACACCGTCATTGGTCTAGGAGAATTTGGACGATCCCAGCTCAGATCAAAGACCTGTTTCCAAATAAGGTCCCACCCTGCGATCCTGGGGGCCGCTCTTCCCCCCACTCCCGCTGGGTTCCATGGCTGCTTGGTTTCACGGAGGAGGGGAGCAGGGTCTGGGGAAGGACCCACAAGAGGGGAGCCTGCTCCCCACCCTGCCTCCGGGTGCCACCTCACAGGGAGCGGCCGCTTTCCCCAGGTGAAGTTCAGAATGTCCGAAGAGACCACCCTGGCAGACCTGCTGCAGCTGAACCTCCACAAGTACGAAGACGAGGTCCGAAACATCGTAGACAAGGCCGTGAAGGAGTCTGGGATGGAGAAGGTGGGACTGGGCTCCCACTGCCGCCACCCAGGCGGCCCAGGGACCGATCCCCTGACTCTGGGCGACCTTGAAGTTCTTACCTAACACAGGGCCCTGCAGCCTCCAGCCCTGGAGGAAAGTCCAGAAGCTTTTTCGCCCCAACCTGAGGCAAAAATCATGTAAAATACTTCTAGAATCTATTACGTAAAAAGCCCAACTAGCTGGGCATGATGGCACACACATGTAATCCCAGCACTCTGGGAGGCTGAGGAAGGAAGATCCCAAGTTCAAACCGAGCCTGGGTGACTTAGTGCCTTAGCAAGACCTTGTCTCAAAATAGAAGTTTTTAAAAGGGCTAAGCATGTAGCTCAGTGCGCAGGCCCTGGGTCCGATCGCCAGTGCTGTCTCCCTGTGTGCAAAAGCATGATGAGGAGCTTTGTTTGGGACAGGGAGGCACTATCCCCCAGGAATTCATCTACTGCTTTAAGGAACAGAATGAAGGTCAGCGTGACTTTGCCCCTGCCATTGTTCAGTTGTTTTTAACTCAAAATAATCAATGTGCCAGAGCAGTACACTGCACTGTGGCCTATTCTCAACTCCTGCGTAGACAGATATGTGGCCTTTCGTGTCTGGCTGCTGTCACAGCCTCAGGTCTGCCCAGCCACCTGCGGTATAGCAGCTGTCAGTGTCTCCCTCCTTTCTAAGGCCAAGTAGCTTCCATCGAGTCTGTCCGTCCATCCAGGATGGGCATGGGTGGGGCTTTCTGCCCCTTGCTACCATGAGTGTCCCTGGCATAGATGTTTGGCTTAGCCCGTGTCCTGGGAGCTTTGAGTCTCCCTCGGCACACATGCCTGACTCCCACTGTCCCCGTGTCTGCTCTCCCTGGGAAGGTGCTGAAAGCCCTGGACAGCACCTGGACCACCATGGCGTTCAAGCATGAGCCCCACCCTCGCACGGGCACCATGATGCTGAAGGCGGACGAGGTGCTGGTGGAGACCCTGGAGGACAACCAGGTGCAGCTGCAGAACCTGATGATGTCCAAATACCTGTCCCACTTCCTCAAGGAGGTGACCAGTTGGCAGCAGAAGCTGTCCACGGCAGACTTGGTCATCGCCATCTGGTTTGAGGTCCAGAGAACCTGGAGCCACCTGGAGAGCATCTTCATTGGCTCAGAGGACATCCGAGCCCAGCTGCTGGAGGACTCGCTGCGCTTTGATGCCATCGACCTGGAATTCAAGGTGAGCCCCGTCCCGCCCTCTGGGCCCCTTCCAGGGCCATCTTGGACAGAGGGGGCTCCTGACGCCTCAGCGATCCCTTCCTCTTCCCAGACTTTGATGGAAGACGCAGTGAAAACTCCCAATGTGGTGGAAGCCACCAACAAACCGGGTCTCTACAATAAACTGGAGGCGCTGAAGAAAAGGTGGGTCCGCAACCAGGTCCGGAGATGTTGATGATGCGGGAGCCTGGGGCATGCGCCCCCTGCTGGTCTGGATGGTGCAAGACCACGTTTCCTAGGCTGTTAGCATCCCTTCCCTGGCCAGCCCGCCTTCGCACTGGAGGCAGAGAGACGAAATAATCCTCCCACCTCAGAACCGCTCGTGGTCAGGGCTGTAGAGGAACACGAGCACCTGGTTGGAAGTTCTGAGTTCTCTGGGCCTGTGAACAACACACCTGACATCTGTGGGGCTCAGTCCAGTCAGTGCCTGGGCCGAGACCCCTGAAGAGCCACACCGACCCCTTGTCCGCCTCCTCCCAGCTTGGCCATGTGCGAAAAGGCCTTGGCAGAGTACTTGGAGACCAAGAGGCTGGCCTTCCCAAGGTTCTACTTCGTCTCCTCGGCCGACCTGCTGGACATCCTCTCCAACGGAAATGACCCCGTGCAGGTAGGCGGGGTCCCGGTCGGTGCCAAGGATGAGCCGAGCCGCAGACTCCGTACAGGGCTGGCATCCTGGTGCCCGGGAAGGAGGGAGGGTCCCTGACCCCACCCGCACCTGGCGTGTTTCAGGCATGTCAGCCTACTCTGTGCCTTACTGTCCTCATGTGCGGAGTGGGTCTGACACCGGGGTGTAGGGAGATGCTGTCTCGGAAGGACACCCTGCCTGCTGGTCCATCCTCCATGTCATCTTCTCATTCCCCTGGAGCCAGTAAGGGGCTCCAGGCTCTTCTGAAACAGGATAGGGTGAACTAGGTGAAGGAGAGATGACCGTGGTTTGCTTCAAGCATGAGTTAGGGGGCACACAAGACACAGGGACACGCAGGGCCCAGGATTGAGGACCCGGGGCCTGCGTCCTGCCTGAGAGCAGCTCCCACCAGTCCCTGTAGGTGACCAAGCCATGGTTGGGTAGCACTGACCAAAGATGGGGGCATCTGCGCCCCACACAAAGGCAGGCAGGAAGGCGGGTGGGAGGGGGAAGGAGATCAATCCCCCCGAAGTTGCCTGGGCTCGGGGTGCCCTTCCCGTCCCTCAGCTGCACGACTCCCCTGACCCCCCAGGTGGGCCGCCACCTGTCCAAGCTCTTCGACAGCCTATGCAAGCTGAAGTTCCGGCTCGACACCAGCGGGAAGCCACTCAAGTTTGGGCTGGGGATGTACAGCAAGGAGGACGAGTATGTGGAGTTTGACCAAGAATGTGACCTCTCGGGACAGGTGAGAGCACGTGTGCTGCAGAAGGAGCCGCGACAGTGGCAGAGGCGAGACCCAGACATGTCCACAGCCGCCCACTGGAACCTGTCGCCCCTCTGCCTCTTTAGGAAATGCTCCAGGATTTCTTTATGGACTTGCAGCTCTGCCTTCCCACACTGCACGGCATGGATCTTGCAGGGCGAGAGGGAGAGAGGCGCAGAAAGGGCAGAGGCTCCTTGATGTCACTGAATGTTTTGTGGCTTCCTGAGGGGCTCTGTCTGAACCACCAGTCTCCGACCTCTGCCCACAGTCACTGGCCGCGTTGCGGTAATGGATCCCTAATGATCTTGGGGATCCGTGTCCCGCTTTGGGCACGCAGGTCCTCATGCTCAGGCTGCTGCTCCCGCTGTTTTGATCTCCTTGATGGTCCCTACCCCCTCTCTCACTGCTCAAGCCACAGAAAGGATTTTGACATCAGCCTAAGGAAAACGCAATGCGGAAGCAAGTCAAACTGGCAGGGAGAATATCTCATGCGAGAAAAGCTGAGACTCAGCCCAGTGTGGTGGCACACGCTTGTGGTTCCAGCACTCTGGGATTACACTCTGGGAGGCTGAGGCAGGAGGGTGGCACATTCAAGCCCAGCCTGGGCAACCTAGTGACTTAGGAAGCCCCTGTCTCAAAAGTAAAGAGAAAAGCCGAGCTCCCCACAGTTGGACTGGCAGCATGTGACTGGAGCGCTCTCTAGACAAGCTGAGCAGGGCACTACCAGGACCTGCTCTTGGGAGTTTGTTGGGTGACCTTCCTGCCCTCGTTCCTCACAGACAAGATGAGGACAAGAGCTACCCAGAGCCCCTTGGAGGGCTTTCTCCCCCAGATGCAGTTAGTTGAAGGGGTTTTGGTTTGTCCTACATGCTGGGAATCGAATCCAGGGCTTCGGGCGTGCAAAGGACAGGTCCCACCTCTGAGCTCCATCCCCAGCCCCAGGGTCTCTATTTTAAAACCCAAGAGGAGCGGCCAAGACAAACGTCGCTGTCCTGCTACATCTTGGCCAGAAGGTGGCGCCACTCAGTCAGTCCAGACAGGTGCCCGCTTAGAGCCAGCCCGCCTGCTGGTTCAGAGTTCTGTCTGACGCCCTCTCCCCTCTCTGGCTTAGAGACAATCACGCTACCTGGATGCGGGACGCAGCAGGCTTTGCCAGGCACTGTCCAGCCTTTCTTAGATGGCTCACTTTTACTGCTCTACGAAACCTGGACGTTTCTTCCCCTGGGTTGATGATGATGACAGATGGTGCATTTTTTTCTTTACGACAAAGCAAATGGTGGAAACTAGACACGCTCACATGGCCCACATGGCCCCTGTCCCCAGGTGGAGGTCTGGCTGAACCGCGTGCTGGACCGAATGTGTGCCACTCTGCGCCATGAGATCCCGGAGGCAGTGGTGACCTATGAGGAGAAGCCGAGGGAACAATGGATCTTTGATTACCCAGCCCAGGTCCGAGTGTGGCTCTATCTTCCGGGTGGGTGCCTGGGGTCCCGAAGAGCCCTGGGTTCCCCACAGCCATTCAGAAAGTTTGATTGCTTCCCCAGCCCAGCCAGGGCTCAGCGTGCCGGCCACGGCTCCATGTGTTCCAGGTCGCACTGACCTGCACCCAGATCTGGTGGACCACTGAGGTGGGGCTGGCCTTCTCCAGGCTGGAGGAGGGATACGAGAACGCCATCAAAGACTACAACAAAAAGCAGGTACGCCAGGCCCGTGCATCCCCCAGGACTGCTGAGCAGGGGCCGTGACCTCCCCAAGGAGCCCTCAGCCTGGCTGTGACCCGCGCCCCCAAACCCAGATCAGCCAGCTGAACGCGCTCATCACGCTGCTCATTGGGAGCCTCAGCGCCGGCGACAGGATGAAGATCATGACCATCTGCACCATCGACGTGCACGCGCGGGACGTGGTGGCCAAGATGATCACTGCCAAGGCACGCGCGCCGTGGCCCGCGGGGGGCCTTCTCCCGGGCGGTGGCGACCTGGTTCCGGGCAGCAGCTGTCCGCGCTGGCCCCGACCCCGGCCGGGACTCACCCCGGCAGGCAGGCACCGCATCGCGGCCCGGCCCGATGAGGCCTCGGCCGGGCGTCTGTGCCTGTGTGGGACTCAGCCGAGGGCCCGGGGAGGGAAGGCGGGGCGGGGGGGCAGGGGCGGGGCCTCGGCCACCCAACGCCCGGCTCCACCACAGGTGGAGAGCGCGGAGGCCTTCACCTGGCAGTCGCAGCTGCGGCACCGCTGGGACGAGGAGAAGAGGCACTGCTTCGCCAACATTTGCGACGCCCAGATCCAGTACTCCTATGAGTACCTGGGCAACACGCCGCGGCTGGTCATCACGCCCCTCACCGACAGGTGGGACCCGCGCCCCCATGCCTGTCGCCCAGCGGCGCCCGTGTCCTTCCGCCCCCTTCCCGTCTCCCTCCGCGTGGTCAGACTCGAGCGGCCCGGCCTGGGGACCGGGCTCTTGGGCTGGCAGACCTGCTCTCAGGCGCCATCCTGCGCCCCGGAGGTGCCCGAGATCGGACCCTGCGTCCTCGGCCTCACACCAGCTGGGTGGCCCTGGGACAGCTCCTTCACCCCCCTGAGGAGCTGCGAAGTGAGGACAGTGTGTCATGAAGCCTCAGGGGCTCCTCGAGGATCAAGTAAATCACATAACGAGAAAAGCGGGCAGAGGAGCCAGGGGAAGCGGTACAGGCCTCAGGAGGCTGAGGCAGAAGGATCTCAATTTCAAAGCCAGCCTGAGCAATTTAATGAGACCTTGTCTCAAAATAAAATAAAAGGGGTTACGGACGTATCCCACTGGTAGAGTACTTGCCTAGCACCAGAAAACAAACAAACAACAAAGGCTCGGACCAGAAGCTGACCAAGTAACTCTTGTACATGTGGGTTATTGTTAAGACAGATTTTTTTTTTTTTTTGAGACAGGGTCTTGCTATGTAGTTCAGGCTGGCCTTGAACTCACTATGTAGCCCAGTATTTGTGGTGATCCTCCTGCCTCAGCTTCCCAAGTGCTGAGATTACAGGCGTGTGCCACCACACTCGGTCAAGGACGGGTGTTTTGTCAGTAGTGCCCCCTTCCCTAAGCTACAGGCAGGCCATGCACCCGAGTGCTCGTCCCATGATGCTGTTTGTCCCTCGGTCATGCCGAATCCTCCCTGCCCTCCCCCTTCTGTCCCCAAGGCTGAGCAGGCTTAGTAGTCACACGATTAAGAGAAATCACAGGAAATGGAGGCGGACGGGGCGGGGTCACCAGACCAAGGTGACCCGGGTCCTTGGCAGGTGCTACATCACGCTGACCCAGTCCCTCCACCTGATCATGGGCGGAGCCCCCGCGGGCCCGGCCGGGACCGGCAAGACAGAAACGACCAAGGACTTGGGCCGAGCTCTGGGCACGATGGTGTACGTCTTCAACTGCTCCGAGCAGATGGACTACAAGGTACAGGGCCATGGGTCCCACGCAGGAGGGACGAGCTTGGTCCCAGGAGGGTCCAGGGCCCCCAGGACCCCCAGGACCCCCGCACGCCCAGTTCCCCACTGTGGCTGTGTGAAGTCACAGCCAGACCGTGTCCCGCCCTTGCTCCCAGGGATCAGAGCCTGCAGATGGGCTCAGGGTGGCATGCCAGGTACACGCAGGGACGGGAGGCGTCCCCTCTGCCAGGAGGACTGCAGGACATCCTCAGTGCTGCACACGCAGAAGGGGGGTGGCAGGGGTGGTGGGCAAGTTCAGGACTCGGGGCTGCAGACGCCCCGTCCTGTCTGTGTCTGAGAGGGGGTCCCTGAGGCTAGGACGAGGCCCATGGTCATGGTCCAGCCGTCCACACCAGCGTCCTGGGTTCCAGATGAGTGGAATCCGAAGTCAGCGCCCCTAGAAGGGCTGTGACCCGCCTGGAACTCCTAGCTAAGTGCCGGAGGGTCACCCTGATGAGCAGCGGGGGCCACAGTGACCCAAACCACAGAAAAGAGTCTCCCAGGGGGGCTTGTAGCCCTGCGCTGCCTCTGAGGGATGCCCCTCCCTCCCCACGTGCGCAAGAAGGGCAGAGAGAAAGCGGAGGTGGGATTGGCCTGGATACGCCTGCCTCAGCCTCCTGGTCAGGGGACCTGCAGAGGTCTGGGACAGCAGGGTTGGGAAGCACACGCTACAGGGCACTCAGCCTGTGCTGCAGCCCGTGTGCTGGGAGTCACGTGCCCCACCTGCCAGCACCCCGAGGTCCCCTGGTGTCCCCACACCTGGTGCTTGTCCCGTCTGGGACCCCGGACATGCAGAACACAGGCTGCTGCCTTCCTCTGATCGCCTCCCACCGTCCCGCCCTCCCCAGTCCTGTGGAAACATCTACAAGGGCCTGGCGCAGACCGGGGCCTGGGGCTGCTTTGATGAGTTCAACCGGATCTTGGTGGAGGTGCTGTCCGTGATTGCAGTGCAGGTAGGGCTCTCCCTGGGGCGAGGGAAGGCTAATTCCTTCCACCTGGGGTGTTAAAGAGACAATACAACAGATCGTTGCAGATCTTAATTGGCTTCATTTGTGGTTCTAAAGTCAAGCAATGGTCTAGTCCTAAAACCATCCAGAATGCTCTGGCCTACCATGAGGGCAGGTTATACTCATCACCGGACATAAGGAAGTGCCACACAGAGCACGAGGCAGGACAGCGGATTGGCGACAGCTGGTGTCCTTATTTGAACACTTGGCTGCTTGTGATTGGCTGGGAATGGTGGTGCTCGCCTGTAGTCCCAGCACTCAGGAGGCTGAGGCAGGAGATTCACCCTGAGTTCGAGGCCAACCTTAACTATACATACAGCTAGCAAGACCCTATCTCAAAATACCAAACAAGAAAAAAAGAAAAAGAGTAGGTTATGTATAGGTCAAGTGAAGGTACAGTTCATTATGTCCCTATGTAGAGAGAACCCAGCAAGTCAAAGTTAAAAGGTATGAAGCCAGCTGTTTGCTACCAGCATCAGTGGACTTGGGTGCTGCAGGGGACACAGGAGTTCTTCAGTAAGACAAGGGTGCTGAAAGAGAATAGCAGGGAAGGAAGAAAAGGAAGGGAGGGAGGGAAGGAGGAAACATACCTGTATATTTTGGGGATACCCCTGGGAAGCACAGGAGGGCAGTGGGGAGACTGAGGAAGGCAGGAGTGGGGTTCTCAGACCAGGAGAGCCCTGTGTCACCTTCCCCGGCTGCTGTCACAGTTGCCTGAGCATTTCTGCCCCTTAAACAAGAGCCTACTAGACTTGAGAAGCACTGAGCCCTCAAGGGTAAACTGAGGCCAGCCTCTAGTTCAGGGGTCAACTTCGAGATTCTACAAGGAGATGTAGGAGGTTGAGGGCCCTGAGACCCCTCCCCAACCTGCAGTAACCAAACGCAGAGGGGCCTGGGCGGCTCAGGACCGCTGCCCCAGGGCGATGACTCCCCAAGTCCCTGCGCCCCCCTCCCTGCTCTGTGAAATGGGCGAGGACACAGGCTTGCTGTGGGGTCCCCTGCTCGCACAGGTCCTGACCCTGGTGTGTAGTCAGAATGCAAATTAAAGCTCAAGCGCATAGTTACAGGAAAAAGCTTTCAGTGGAAAGGAAGGGAACGTGGTAAGGGACTTTAAGTTGGGGAGCTGGCAAAGATCAGCTGGCTGTTAAGAAAGGAGAGAGAGGAGACAGGAGCGGACCCCACAGGAGCCGCAGGGCTCGCCCTGGAGGGGCTCAGCCTGCCTCACTCTGGGAGAGAAAGAAAGAAAGGAAACAAACACACTTAAGCGCCAACTGCTCCAGAAGAAAGCACAAATCACTCTGGAATGAGTTTCAGTGCCCGGAGTTTGTCCTTCGTCCCCATTGTGGTCCCTGCGGTGTCAGGACTGTTGGCCCCCTGCTCTCCCCGCTCCGTGAAGAGTCACCCACCCCGGCTGGAGGCCCGCACAGCGCAAGCCTGGGCAGCCAGCTCCTGACCTCTGAGCAGGATTGGTCACTGCCCTGTGACTCCCAGGCCCACACCGCGGTTCCCAGCCCACGCCAAAGTCAGCTGGCAAAGCCCAGAACATGTGTGTGGAGCCTGTTGGAGGCACCAGGCGAGCAGGAAGATGGGGAGCCTGGTGCAGGAAGAGGTGTCCTGGTAGGAAACCCCGGCCTGACCCAGGCAAGGAGCCGAGAGAGGGTTCAACTGTGAGCGTTTGGCGCCCTCGAGTGGTGATTTAAAGATTTGCAGCCACAGCCAAATGCCAGCAAAATTCCCAGTTCTAGATTGAAACTCCAGGGGGCAGGTGGTCTCAGAACTCTCTGATATGGAGATGGCTGCTAACTGATCTCCTGAGGCCCACTGACAGAGAAGGGACAAAGCATAGGAAGGGGCTGGGAGGAGCAATGCTACTCACAAGGAGGACGAGGATGAAGGGCATCTCCAGAGTCTGGCTGAGGCAAAAGCCCGTCTCAGATCACATCCTCTGCAGTCCCACGTGGACCACCTCACGGATGAGAAATGTGCACAAGTGGAGGACAGGCTGGGTGTTGGCTGGGGCCAAGGGGAGGAAGGGGAGGGCGGTGGTAACCTGAGGGGTCACACAGACTCGCAGCCACCACAAGCTTGACAAAAGTGACATGGACATGGGTTTTTCCATGTCCATGTGCGTGCGCCCATGTGTAGGTGAAATGCATCCAAGATGCCATTCGAGCCAAGAAAAAGCTGTTTAACTTCCTGGGAGAGATGAGCAGCCTCATCCCCACCGTGGGGATCTTCATCACCATGAACCCGGGCTACGCGGGGCGCACGGAGCTGCCCGAGAACCTCAAGGCCCTGTTCAGGTGCACAGCTGGGGGTTCAGGCAGCCGCGCTGCATCCCAACCTCAGCATCATGTGGAGGGAGAGCGGGCCAGGCTCAGGGGACTGCAGACCAGCTGTGAGATGGAGGCAGGGTCGTCGGGGGCTGGGGCCACCTGTCCCCACATGCGCAGAGCCTGCTGCTCCTACAAGGACTCTGAAGGCCAGGAGAGCAAGGTGCTGGGCAGAGCACGTGGAGGGATAGGTGTGCTGGGACCCAGCTCCACTCCCCCAGAAGGTGGACCTAGCATGTGGGCCACTGGCAGGGGACAGGTGCTCTCTAGGTGAAGAGGGGCAGGTAGGGTGAGTAAGGGGATGCCCACAGCCAACACGGATCTCCCCAGGCCCTGCGCCATGGTGGTCCCCGACTTCGAGCTGATCTGTGAGATCATGCTGGTGGCCGAGGGCTTCCTGGAAGCCCGCCTGCTGGCCAGGAAGTTCATCACGCTCTACACCCTATGCAAAGAGCTGCTCTCCAAGCAGGTGCGTGCTCACAGGCTCCTGGAGCTCAGAGCCAGCTGCAGGAAGGGGTGGAGGGAGGGTCCACATGCCTCAGTGCCCAGGCACCCCGGAAGGGCACTCATGTCCACCCATGCCCTGCAGGATCATTACGACTGGGGCCTGCGGGCCATCAAGTCTGTGCTGGTGGTGGCCGGCTCCCTGAAGAGGGGGGACCCCACCAGGGCTGAAGACCAGGTGCTCATGAGAGCGCTGAGGGACTTCAACATCCCCAAGATCGTGACCGATGACCTGCCCGTGTTCATGGGCCTGATTGGGGACCTGTTCCCAGCTCTGGACGTGCCTCGGAAGCGAGACTTGAATTTTGAGAAGGTTAGGAGCCTGCCCAGGGAGCCTGCCCAGCCAAGGGCCCCATCCCACCTAGGCGCCTTCTCCCACGGTGTTCTGCCTCGCTGGCTAACTGGCAAGCACAACACTGGGGTTGGTGGTCAACTCCATCAGCCCAAGAGGGCCACACAGGCAGGTCCTCAGGGCCACCAGCTGCCTCTCACCCTGGCCAGCCCCACTCTCTCATGCAGGGGCTGAACAGGGGACTCCCAGCAGCCTGAGCTCAGGCAGCATTGGCAGCAGAGCTTGCAGGTAGCAGGCAGGTCCTGGCCTGAGGTGCCTTGTCCTGTGTCACCACCTTCACTGCAAAGGAAGGCCCTCTCCCGCCGCAAAAGGTAGTCCTGTCTTTGTGCTCCAATCTTGCCCTCGTCCCCAGATCATCAAGCAGAGCATCGTGGAGCTCAGGCTGCAGGCAGAGGACAGCTTTGTGCTGAAGGTCGTGCAGCTGGAGGAGCTGCTGCAGGTCCGGCACTCTGTGTTCATCATCGGAAACGCAGGCAGCGGCAAGTCCCAGGTGCGTCCCTTCCTCACCCACAGGGACCCAGCAGCGCCACACACTGGGGTCCCAGCCTGAAAGGTGTCCCAAGTGAGAAGCGGGGGAGGGACACCCACGGGTGCTGGGCCCACTGCAGAGCCTCTGCCAGGTTCTCCTGATTCCTGCTCCCCCACCAGTCACGTGCTGCCCTGCAGCAACACCTCCTGTCCCATCCTGTGAATGGCAGCTCCACTGGGCCAACAGGGCGACCGCAAAGTCACCGACACCTGTAACCTGGAAATTCTGAGCCAGCCAGGTGTTGGGCAAGATGCCCAGAGGATCACCTATTGTGCTGTTGTTAAAAACGGTTTCCCACTGAGCTACATCCCCTATTATAGTTTTGTTTTATTTTTTTTTAATGTATAACTTTATTATCATTCACTAAATACATATACAAAAATTAAAATTATTCAAAGAAAAACAATGCAAGGGAAAAAAACTATAATAATATTCAAATATAGTAGAACTCAACCAAAGCAAAACTGAGAAGTACTTAAACATTTTTCCATATAATTTTTAAATACATCTCAACCATTAACAAGACATCAGAGGAAGTGATTTGTTTTAGAAAGATTTTCAAAACTAATATTGAACAAATAGTGGTCTGGAAAAAATTCTAATTAGCTAGTAGACTCCACATAGATCAAATTTTTTTAAATTTACCTTTCAATACAGTCATATGATGTGTGATGGAAATATAATCTGAGAAATATGTTATTAGGCAGTTTCATTCGTGTGTATCGCAAAGTACCACACAGACTGCCAACTTCTAAGTGCAGACTGAAAAGGTATATGACAATCATCTGTGATGGCCCCTTGATATTATCCAAATACGCAGTTAAACATGAGATGCATGAGGCTACCACTGGCATAGCCGCACACTGTTTTACAGTAAACTCTTTTATATAAGCAGGATTATGCTCTAAAGGATGAAAAGCACAGCATGTTATGATGAGTACCTAAAACAGTAACAGTCATCTATCACACTATTGAGTACTGTGCACTGTACAGAGTTGTAGGTGCCTCTTCTGGAAACACACCCTTCTCTCCTTTGATCTCAGTGACTCTTCCTTCCCAACCCACTGATGAGCTCCAGCCTAGTCTCTATCTACATCTCTTCCTATAGTTTTAAACACAATCTATATATGGATTCTTTCCAGATTCCAGCCTGTAACTGATCTCTCCCCTTCCCCTCCTGCCACCCCTACCCCTTTGAACCTTTTGTTCCTATTTCAAATTATCAGTTATTTGTTTTAATCATTTTAATCCTTAATTACACTATCAGTTTCTCACACTACAGAAACTATTCGGTATTTACACGTGTGTCCTATGTATTTCACTCAAGAGGATGGCCTCAATATGCATCCATTTAGCTATAAATATCTCCAGTTTCTCATCCTTCATAGCTTAGTACTCCATTTTATAAAAAAAAAATCAAAAAACCAAAAAACTCCCATCTTCTTTATCCAGTCTCCAGTTGATGGGCACTTGGGCTGTTTCCAAGCTTTAACTATTACAAACTGTGCCGCTATAAACATGGGTGTTTATATATCACTGTGGTATGATTCTTTTAATTCTTTTGGGAAGACACCCAGCAGGGAAATAGCTGGGTCAAATGGGACCTCTAAGCCTAGTTCTTTGAGGTCTCTCCATACTGATTTCCACAGTGGTTGCACCAGTTTGCACTCCCACCGACAATGGAAAAAGGTTCCTTTCTTCCCACAGCCCCGCCAGCATTTGTTATTGGTTGATTTCTTGATAGCAGCCATTCTTTCTGGGGTGAGGTGGAATTTGTGTTGTTTTCATCTGCATCTCTCAAATAACCAGTGATGTTGAACATTTTGTAATATATTTATTTGCTGCTTTTACTTCTTTGTCTGGGAAATGTCTGTTCATTTCAGATGCCCATTTTTGAAATGGGTCTTTGAATTTACAGGGTCTGATTTTTTTCAGTTCTTTATATATTCTAGATAGTAGTCCTTTGTCTAAGGTACAGCTGCTGAAAATTTTTTTCCCACATTGTAGGTTGTCTCTTAGCTCTGTTAGTGGTTTCTCTTGCAGTGCAGAAACTTTTTTTTTTTGTACCAGGGATTGAACTCAGGACCTTTAGCTTGTGAGGCAGATGGTGGAACCACTGAGCTAAATCCCCAGTCCTGTGCAGAAGCTTTTTAATAAGATGAGATCCCAGTTGTTGATTCTTTGTGCTAGTTCCCATGCTACTGAGGTTTGTTCATAGTCTTTTCCTATGCCCATGTTTTCAAGAGTTCTACCTAACTTATCTTCCAGCAAATTTAATCTGTCTTTATATTAAGATCTTTAATCCACTTTGATCTTAGTTTAGTGCATGGTGATACGTATGGGTCTAGTTTTAATCTTTGGTAGGCTGAAATCCAGTTTTTCCAACACCACTTATCAATTAGGCTCTCTTTCCTCTAATGAGGATGGTTGGCTCCTTTGTCAAAGATAAGGTGGCTGAGTATGTCTGGAGTTGTTTCTGCCTCTTCTAATCTATTCCACTGATCCTCAGGTTGGTTTCTTTGCCAGTACCATGTTGTTTTTATCACAGTAGCTTTGTAGTATAGTTTCAAGTTGGGGATTGTAATACCCCCTGCCATGTCTCTGTTGCCTAGAATTTATTTTGCTGTTCAAGGTGTCTTCTGGTTCCAAATGAATTTTTGTATTGTTTTCTCTAGTTCTGTGAAATATATTGTTGGAATTTCAATCAGCATTGCATTAAATCTATACAGTAGTTTTGGAAGTATGGCCATTTTCACTATATTGGTTCTTCCTACCCAGGAACAAGGGATGTCTTTCCATTTTCTTATATCCTCCTTGATCTCCTTTTTCAGAGTGCTGCAGTTTTCAGTGTAGAGGTCTTTTGCTTCCTTTGTTAGATTGACTCCTAGATATTTCATTTTTGGGAGATGCTATTGTAAAAGGAATTGTTTCCCTAATTTCTCTCTCAGTGAGTCTATTATTTGTATATAAAAAGGCTATTGTTTTTTGAGTGTTGACCTTATATCCAGCTACTCTACTGAATCTGTCAATTAAGTCTAGAAGTCTTTTGGCAGAGTATTTTGGGTGTTCTATGTAAAGTATCATATCATCAGCAAATAATGACAGTTTCACTTCTTCCTTTCCTATTTTTATTCCTTTTGTTTCTTTCTCTTTTCTAATTGCTGTGGCTAATGTTTCCAGAACGATATTGAACAGTTTTATTTTTGAGACAGGGGCTCACTAAGTTGCCCAAGCTGGCCTCAAACTCTTGATACTCCTGCCTCAGCCTCCCAGAGTCCTAGGAGTTGTTTGTTTGCTTGTGTGTTTCAATGAGCCTGCACTGCCTGTATTACAAGGAAAAAACAAATGTGGGTGTTTTTCCTCCATCTCCAGAGCACTCTGTGGGCTGCAGAGGGAACCATGTCTGGGGGATCTGCCACGTCGGGGGAAGGCAGCACCCACAGCCACCGAGGCAAACCGTCCGCAGAGAACCCTCCTGTGTTAGGCAGGAAGGACGCCCGAGCACGCTGTGTGCACAGTCCCGGGCAAGTGCAGCGGGTGCTGTGGGGTCGGGTCACACATGAGTGGCCTCCGCCCTGCCAGGTCCTCAAGTCTCTCAACAAGACCTACCAGAACCTGAAGAGGAAGCCGGTGGCTGTGGACCTAGACCCCAAGGCTGTCACCTGCGACGAACTCTTCGGGATCATCAACCCCGCAACCAGGGAATGGAAAGACGGTAAGGAGCGGCGGGGGAGCGTGCTGTGCTCCGGCCCCGACCCCCACTGAGACTCGGCCCAGCTCCCCCGAGAGGCCGTGGCAGGTTCGGGGCGCAGGAGCCAGCCACGCGCGCACGCGGCACATGACGACGGCGTTGCTCGGAGGCCCACCGGGCGGCAGAAAGAGGAGGAGCTGCGGAAGGGACCGCGAGACCCGTGGGCCAAGGGGAGGGGCAGGGCGCCCGGGGGTGGGGCTCTGGGAAAGGAGTGCCCCTCCCCGGAAGGGGCTGATCAGGTGTTTACGGGGCGACCAAGGATGGGCTGCAGGAGGGGCTGGCGCGTGGCCGGGTGGGACCTGACCTGACCCTGACCCTGACCCTGACCCTGACCCTGACCCAGCCCCAGCCCCAGCCCCAGCCCCAGCCGCACAGGGGCTTCCTGGCCTGCAGCCCACTCCTCCCACTCTGACCTGCTCTTCCCCGTGAACTCCTCCCCTCACGGGCAGCGCTTGTCTCTGCACGCGTGTCTGGTTTCTCCCCTACTGGAGCAAGATCTACAGGGGTGATGGGGGTGTTCGTGGTCCTGGGCTTTGTACCCCAAGTTCCCCACCACCCCCTCCGGGCCTGACACGTGGGGAAGCCTCACCTGACCTCTGAGCGAATGAACGAAGGCGTGAGTGGGGTGCAGAGCATGGGGGTGACGCTCCACGTGAGCTGTGGAACCTCCTGGAGGAACTGAGACAAGCTGCAGCCCCAGGAGAGGGACATGCGGGGAGGGACGCAGGGTCAGAGGGGACGGGCCAGAGCTGGGGTGTGGAGAACACGAAGGAGGAGCCAGCAGTCACCAGGGCAGAAGAATGGAGGGAAAGAGCCTGCCACCTCCTGTCCGAGGGCCTCTACTGTCCCTCTAAATAGGGGACAGGCCACCGATAAGAAAGCAAGCAAGGGGGCCGGAGACTTAGCTCAGTGGTTCCGGTGCCTGCCTCGCAAGCACAAGGTCCCGAGTTCGATCCCCAGTACCAAAAAACAACAAAAAATAGCAAGCAAGCAAGGCTGGGTGAGGCCAGGCTAGGACAGCAGTGTGAGTCCCAGAGCTCCTGGTGCCGCCCTGTCCTTCCGGCCTGGCCACGTGTGACGCCCGACGCTCCGCACAGGTCTCTTCTCCACCATCATGAGGGACCTGGCCAGCATCACGCACGATGGCCCCAAGTGGATCGTGCTGGACGGGGACATCGACCCCATGTGGATCGAGTCTCTCAACACTGTCATGGATGACAACAAGGTATGTGAGCTCCTGGATCCTGGGCCAGTCTGGAGCTCCGCACAGAGAGAGGTGTGACACCCAGCCCACTGCTTCCCACAGGACACCGTGCCCTGACCTTCAGGGTCTGACCAGCAGTGTGTGGGGCTGAGGGTAGGGAGAGCGTCCACCGTTCACTCGGGCACAGCATGGGGAGGACAGGAGCTGCATTCAGGATGGTCTGGAGGCATCTTTCGGCACTCGAGACCTTCAGGGAAGGGGGCTCTGTGGCCTTGGCAAGCACGTGTGATGCCATCATAGGGTGCTGGGCACTGTGCGGGTCTAGACCCACCTGCCTGGTCCCGCCGCAGGTTCAGGGCAGAGGGGTCCCGGAGAGACCCTGGATCCCCAGAAGCCGGGGCAGGCCTCCCAGAAGCTCTGCTTGGGGACTCTGTCAGGACGGTGCGTGCCCACTGCTGCCACTGTGTGGACTTGCTGGCCCCTAGGTCCTCACCCTGGCCAGCAACGAGCGCATCCCCTTAAATCGCACCATGAGGCTAGTGTTTGAGATCAGCCACCTAAGGACAGCCACCCCGGCCACCGTCTCCAGAGCCGGCATCCTCTACATCAACCCAGCGGATCTAGGCTGGAACCCGTGAGTAGGGCCTGGGCGGTCCCATTCCTAGCTGGCAGAGGAACAGGAGGGGGAGGCTGAGTCCTAGTTTCATGTGTATCCACTCGCTCTCCCATCGACCCTCCCACCCACCCATCTGTTCATGCATTAAATACGGTGTGCAGCTTCACTTCATTGTCACGGAAACAGGAGGACGGGACACAGGTGTGTAAGTGATGTATGTGCATAGTGATGTTGGCACACACAGCCAGGAGTGCAGGGCACAGGGAGGGGCTCAGCCCCTGTGGAGACCTGAGTCTTCCCAGAGGCCTGGCTCTCGGGCGCCATCCAGAGGAAAGGGAGCGAGCAAAGTGGACAGAAATGAGAGCCGCGTTCCAAAGAAGAACCACCAGCTATGGGTGAGCAGAGGCTCTGGGACAGGCAGTGGGCCCAAATGCTTGATATCTTGGACTCGCTGTTTCCTGCTTGGACACGTAGCCCATGGTTGGTAGAGTAGCAGAAATCCAGGGGCCTTGAGCTGGTGATTTAGCTCGGTTCCGCCGCCTGCCTCGAAAGTGCATGGACTAGAGTTCGATTCCTGGTACCAAAGAAACCCAGGGGCCAGAGAAATGGCAGCTGGGAGCACACGCCCTGCATCAGCTTGAGTAGAGTTCAGGGCCCATCTTGGGAGAGAGAGGCTCAGGGGGCATGTTGGGGCTGGAGGTGGTGCTTTGTTCATTCATACATCTGACCAAAACTTTCTGCAGCCTACTGTGTGTCAGGACCTGGGACACTCCATGCCAGGGAACTAGATTCTCCAGAAAAATGTAATGTGAGACATTTGTGTCCTGAAAAAACCCAGCACCGCGATTGGGGAGGATGGGGACTTTACCAGGGGTTCCCAGAAGGGCTGGTCCCAGAAGCAGAAGGAACACTGGGTAATGGCGTCCCAGACACCCATGGTGGGAAAATTTCAGGGAGGCCGGGGACCTACAAGATTGCATTCAGTGACAGGAGAGTTTGCCCTGGATGTGGCAGTCAGGCACGGTTGGATAATCAGGAGACAAGATCTATGGGGTGCTGGCGGTGGAAGCCAGGTGATGACCACTAAGGAGGTCCTGGCAGGAGGCCCTGGAAGTGAGGCTCTCTGGGAGTGAGTCTTGTGTCTGAGGGCTTCAGATGAAGCTGGAGCAAGAGCTAGGAAAGTTTGCTTTGTCGAGGTGGGACCCATGCTTGGGCACCGGGAGCAGGCCCGGGTGGTTCCTGGCACATGCCAGTCTGTGGTGCCAAGAAAGGCATCGAGAGCACACACCTGTGGTGCCTCCTTCCCCTGCTGTGGGAAGTGAGCACCTTGCCATGAAGGAGGAGGCATGGCAAGCCTGGGGTTAGAGGGTGCCAAGCTTGATGTCCCTGGGAGGGACAGAACTGGGAGGCGCAGGAGCCAAACTGAGATGGACCCACACACAGGGCTGTCGTGTCCAGCAGCACTTGCTACTTATGTGAGTGCCATGGGGCTGCCACAATAGAGGACCACAAAGAGAATGGCTGCCAACAATTGTGGGCAGGGCAGTGGGGCTGTGGGGAGATCTGTCATCCCCAGGAGCTGGCCTCTTCCAGCTGAGGGGGGCTTGGGACACCCTTGGAATCTGGGCTCCTAGGTGCATCGACCCCAGCTCTGCTGTCATCTCCACATGGCTCTCTCCTCTGTGTGTCTGTGCCCCTCCTCCCCTTACAAAGATACCAGGCACTGGATTTAGGGTCTGGCCTATCCAGGATGTCTTAGTCACTTTCCCATTGCTGGGAACACAATACTCAACACCCACAACTTACAGGAGGAGAGGGTTAGTTTGGTCCACAGTCCAGGGGACTCAGTTCACAGTCACCTGGCTCCAAGGCAGAATCAGCACGGTGGGAGGGTGAGGCGGAAGAGCCGAGGACAAGAATACACTCTTCTAGGTCATGCCCCCAGTGGCATGTCTCTTCCAGCCAGGCCCCACCGCCAAACACACAAGACTTTGGGGGGATGTTTTAGATATAAACCATAACATTACACCCCTGCCCCCCAAAAGGCTCATGTCCATCTCATTATGCAAGCTGCATTCAGTCCGTCTCTAAGAGTTGCCAAAGTCTTAGCAATGCCAGTACTACTGAAAAGTCCAAGTCCAAAGTCTCCCCTGAGACTCAAGGCAAACTCTTAGCTGGGAGCCCCTATAAAAATCAGAAAGAAAGTTAAATACTTCCAACACACAATGGCACAGAGTAAATATTCCCAGTCCAAAAGAGAGGAATGAGGGAATAGAAATGAATCGAACCTAAGTAAGACAAAACCCAGTAGAATGAACATTATATCCTATAGTTCTATGAACAGCACCCACGACAGGTTGTGGTAAGATGTGAGCTCCAAAGAGCTTGGGTGGCCCTGTCCCTATAACCTTGCTAGATGCAGCCCACATGGCCTCTCTCTTGGGCTGGCTCCATTCATTACCCATGGTTTTCCTCAACAGACATTCCATGCTCTTGGCTCTCCAACTTCCTGGGATCTCCAGTGCTCTTTTAGCTTCACTCTTACAACTTCATGCCCTGTCCTCTCAGGGGCACACTGGCTGGCCTCACAGGCCTTCCTCTGAAATCTGGGTGGAAGCCTCCATGACCCCATATCTCTTACATTCCACATGCCTGAAAAGCCGGCACCATGTCTGGGGCCGGGGATTTAGCTCAGTGGTTTCGCCACCTGCTGCGCAAGCGCAAGGACCCGAGTTCGATCCCCAGTACCAAAAAAAAAAAAGAAAGCCAGCACCATGTGAGTGATGCCAGGGGTGCTGCCAACTTGAGGAATAGCTTGGACCAAATCTCTGCAGAGTCCTCTGACTGCCTGGATGGCTGAAATCGGGGGAAATACTTTCCTAGGTGAATTTGGAACTCTCTTTTCAAAGCACAGACTTTCAAAGGAATTTATCCTATTTTTACCCTTGAGCTGATGATGGATGGGGCCTGGCCAATTTCTGAGATGCTATCAGACCATCTTTCCTATTGTCCTATTGCAAAGTATTTGGTTTATGTTTAATGCTAATCTTTTCAGCAACCACACTCTCCTCAGATCCCAGTTTTACAGGTGCTTCCTTTCTGTCCAAACTTTGCATCATTTGGCACTACTTTTTGCTTCTAATTCTCACTGTAAATCTGGCCAAAAGCCCATACCACAGCCTGAACATCAGACTGCCTTGAAACTTCCTTCACCAGATTGATGTGTCAGTCAACTTTAAATTCAACCTCATACAAAGTATTAGGACATGGACAAAATGAGAACAAGTTCTTGGCCAGAATGAAACATGCATGACCACTAGTCCATTTTCTGATACAGTCCTTATTCCCAACTGAAGCCTCATGAGCCTGACCTTTAGTGTCTGCATTCCTATCAGCATTCTGGTCTTCTGAGCTCCCACCAGAAGTGTCCATCAATCTTTGCTTACAACATTCAAGGTTTACTCTAAACCATTTCTCTAAAGCTTTCTAAACTATTTCTGCAAACCACTTTCAAAGGCTTCTGAACCACATGGTCCGGTACAGTCACAGCAACAACACTACTCCCATATTGGCCACTTTCCTATTGCTGGAAAACAATACCCAACACCCACATCTTAAAGGAAAGGTTTAATTTGGCTCACAGTTCTAGGAGTTTAGTCCATTGTCAGTTGGCAGAAATAGCATGGTGGAGGATGTGACAGAAGACCCAGGTACTCTACATCATGCCCCTAGGAACATCTCTTCCAATCAAGCCCCACCTTTGACTCTTAGGGCATATTTTAGACTTAAACCATAACAGAGGGTGACCTTATCCTCTTTCTCCATACATGATCACATGCTAAGGTTCCAAACAGATGTGTCTTTGGCAGGGCCACTCTTCTGCCCACCAGCACCTTTGAGATTTCAGGGTGGGAAGAAGCCAGGGCAAGGGGACAGAAACAAGATCCAGGTGGGAGTTCCTGAGATGCAGTGGATAGTAAGACAACAGGATTGTGGGGTGTGCAGGGGACAGCCAAGGGAGCAGGGAGGAGAGAGCCAATGTGGGCAGAGGCAAGGACTGGACACCCTCAGGGCACTGACCCAGAGGCAGCACATGAGAATCAGCTCTGGCATGTGAGAGGAGTTAAGTGGCTGGGAAGCATGCAGGCCCTGATGGGCAGCCCTCACACAGGCAGCTGCAGAGCAGGCAGATACTCCAGGCCAGGAGCAGGCCTGACTACAGGGATGTAGGCCCCAGGGCCAGTTTGTCCCGGCTGCTTGTGGAGGCCAGGCAAGAAGTGCCTGGACGCGGCTGAGAAGTGGACCTGAGCTCATGCATATGTGTCTCTGCCAGCTTGTGCTGCAAGTGGAAGCCAGCATGCACATCAGCACACAGTAAATAACACCTGCCAGCCAACATTAAAAATGTGACAGAGGCCGGGGATTTAGCTCAGTGGTTCCACCGCCTGCCCCGAAAGCGCAAGGACCCAAGTTCAATCCCCAGTACCAAAAAAAAAAAATGTGACAGAAGCTGGCCATAGTGGTGCATACCTATAATCCCAGCACTCTGGGAGGGCAAGGCAGGGAGACCACAAACTTGAGCCCAACCAGTGCAACTTAGTAAGTTAGTGACACCCTGTCTTAAAATGAAAAAAAAAAAAAGGGGGTTGTAAAATGAAGACCCTAGGTTCAATCCCTAGTAACAAAAAAAGTATCACAGACATCTTCACATCAGCAGGAGAAGCAGCAGCCATGTGTGGCTCTGCACACTGCTCTGTCTGACTCGGGGCTTGGGTCTTGCCCGCACCAGCACAGGGGCACTTACGTGCTTTGCTGGCAGTCTGATTGTGCAGCTTTCCAGCTTCATAGGACAGGAAGATGGGGCATTGAGAACTAGGTGCACTCACCTCGAGGAGAGGCAGGACCTGCGGGATGGCAGCCTCGAGGTGTTTGGTAACGTGAGCTTCCTGCTTACGCCTCGGGCATCCTGGAAATGACGCACCAGCTGAGCTCACTGACCCCCGAGGGAGCCCAGGCTATTTATGCTTTTAGCAGGCACTTATTTGGCACTTACTGTGGACCAGGCTCCCTTAAAAAGACCAGCAGAGCAATTCTTTTGAATGGGGGTAATGTTTACATCACTCCTGTTTACAGATGAGAAGCCAGGGCCCAGACCTGCTGGGGAACTTGCCTCGGGATACTGCCAGCCCTGATTCAGCCCACGCAAGTCCAGTCCTCACCCCTCACTGCTGGGGTGGACTGTGATTGTACACCAGGCAGTCTGTGTGGGTCCTCAAGGACCCCCTGTTGGATTGCCTTAGACTTTCCCCCTGAGAATGACAAATCCAGCTCAAACTAACTAAAGCCAATGTGTATACACTGGCCCAAGTCACTAAGGGATGCTTAAGGCTGCATCCAGAGGTCCAAATGACGTAACAAGATATCCCTGCGCCTTTCCTCTTCTCTCGCCCCTCCTCTCTTCTCTCTTCCTTCCCCCCAGATGACATCATGAGAACCTTCTCCTCTCCTCCCATCCCCCAGCCCTTAGCATCAGCTTCACTGAGGGCCAGGTGCTTTCCAGGTGGTAACAAGAATGGCTCCCCACTGCTCTGGGCACGGAGCATCCCCACAGCTACCAATCCAGAGAAAGGGCAGGCCCCACTGCCCCAGCACCCTCAGCTGGACCTGGTGGCCCGCTCGCGGGACCCACTGCCACACAGGAACCACCAGCCTGAGCCGCAGCCCTGCACCATGGCCCCTGCCAGAGCCACACAGAGGGGTGAAGGGGTGAGAGGCGCTTAGGAGAGGAGGGCTGCTGGCTGGCCCCAAAGCAGCAGCCACCGTCCTCCCCAGGGTAGTGAGCAGTTGGATCGAGAGGCGCAAGGTGCAGTCCGAGAAGGCCAACCTGACCATCCTGTTCGACAAGTACCTGCCCACCTGCCTGGACAAGCTGCGCTTCGGCTTCAAGAGGATCACACCGGTGCCGGAGATCACGGTCATCCAGACGACCCTGTACCTGCTAGAGTGCCTGCTCACCGAGAAGAACACGCCGCCCGACTCCCCCAAGGAGCTCTATGAGCTCTACTTCGTGTTCGCCTGCTTCTGGGCTTTTGGTGGCGCCATGTTCCAGGACCAGGTGAGGGGCGCCAAGGGGACCGCCCCCCCGCAAATGTGGCCCCCTGGCACCCCTCTTAGCTGGACTGTTTTCTACTTTTGTATTTTAACAGCTTATAGATTATCGAGTCGAGTTCAGCAAATGGTGGATCAATGAGTTTAAAACCATCAAGTTCCCCTCCCAGGGAACAATTTTTGACTACTACATCGATCCTGACTCCAAGAAGTTCCTGCCGTGGACAGATAAAGTGCCACACTTCGAGCTGGATCCTGATGTTCCTCTACAGGTACCCGTCCCCAGAGTGGTGGCCCCGGGCGCGGCTCGGTGTCCCACCCCGTGGCACTCAGGCCAGGTGGCGGCACGTCCAGTGCGGGCTGTGTTCAGCAGCGGGACCCACGAAGCCGTGCACGCACAGCACTGAGAAACCAGTCTGGCGAGTGTACTGACAGTCACCCCATTGTGCCTGCACCCCAGGCCTCTCTGGTCCACACCACAGAGACCACGCGCATCCGCTACTTCCTGGACCTGCTCATGGGGAAGTCGTGGCCAGTGATGCTGGTGGGGAATGCAGGCTCTGGCAAGTCGGTGCTGATGGGGGACAAGCTGGAAAGCCTGGGCACGGACGACTACCTGGTGCAGGCCGTGCCGTTCAATTTCTACACCACCTCCGCCAGGCTGCAGGGTGAGCCCCGCGCAGGCGCACTCGGCACTCTGTCCTGGGCGGGGGCCCACCGCCCCGTTCTCTGTCGTCACTGGCCGCACCGCTAGGGGGAGCACCTCACACCCGTAGGAGGTGGAACAGCCAGGAGCTTCCTGCCACAGTGGCCTCTGATCATCTGTTCCCTCCAGAGCTGGATGGACCCTGCTTCCCCACCCACCCCGTGCCCCTTGAGGCGGGGCATCCGGTGCACCCAAGTCCTGTGCCCCCCCCTTTCCTGGCAGCTCCTACACCCCAGCACCACCTAGCAGGACCAGCTTAGGCCCGGGCAGCGCCTGACCCTGTGTTCTCCCAGGGGTGCTTGAGAAGCCACTGGAGAAGAAATCTGGGAGGAACTACGGGCCGCCGGGCACCAAGAAGCTGATCTACTTCATTGATGACATGAACATGCCCGAGGTGGACAAGTACGGGACAGTGGCCCCACACACCCTCATCCGGCAGCACATGGACCACGGGCACTGGTAAGGCGGGCCACAGGGTCGGACCGTGGCCAGACCTGGGCTTGTGAGGCGGGGCTTGGGAGAGGCCCTGGATGGGGCCAGGGGTGGTAGGGTGGGCCAGGCACTAGGGAGGTGGGGGCCAGGGAACTGGGAAGGTTGGCGAGGGGCTGTGGATCGGGGAAGGGCTTGGGGAAGTAGGGTGGACGGGATAGAGTCACAGGACTGCTGGGGAGGGACAGCCCTGAGGAGGTGGAGGCGGGTTGAGGGCTGGTGGGGAGGAGACCCGGCCAGCGGACAGGTTGCAGCGAGCTGTCCCCCGTGCTGTGGCCCATTCAATGAACACCACGGGCTGTGGCCGGGAGCCTGCAGGGAGGGCACACACAGGTCCCCTGCAGGTGTTCCTACGTTGTGGAGGACACAGAGGTGCTCTTGGAGTGAAGGGACCCCTCTGGGGGAGCCCAGTTCCTCACAGAGCCCCCCTGGGGAAGCCTCCCTCACACAGGCCCCCTCCAAGCCTCGAAGAGGCTCCACGGGCTCAAACGCTCTAGGAAAATTCTCCTGGGCATTTGTGTCCGCCCCCCTGAAAAGGGCCCTGGGTGGGTAGGCTCCAGCCACTGCAGGCCCACAGCTGCCCTTGAGGTTATGTGAACGACCTTCGGGAGGGTCGCCAAGGCAGATCTGATCTCTCAGAAGGCCCCTCCAGTACATCCGGCACCGCTCGCCTCATGGTGATGGGGAGGATGGACCCCACAGCAGAGCGTGAGGAAGAGTCAGGGAAAGGCTGTTGGGAAAGTGCGTGGGAAGGAAACTGAAACGCGTGAAGGAAACGCCAGCCTGGAACGGCCTGACCTGCAGACCCGCAGATGTGGCAGGCTAAGTGTGGATTCACGGAAGAAAACACCTGGCCCATACGGCTTCTCAGACAAAACTTTGAAAAGCTAAATCTGGAAGGCAAAATGTTGATTACTGTGAATTACATCAGAGTTAAGGAATTTTGTTGGACCAGAAACAACATAGACAAATAGAATACAGTCACCAGAAAGGGAGAAAATACTTACGACATACAAAACCAACAGTGGATTAATATCTGGAATGCACAAGGAATTCTTGCAGTCATCAAGAGCAAGGACCCACAGAAAAGGAAAAGAAACCAGTAATGGGGAAAATGCAAAATGTAACAAGCACACAATAAGATAGTTTACTTATTTTTACCTAAAGCATGATACTCGCTTTAAACTGTGGAAGATTAGTGAATGGATTTGTGACCATCTTAGAAATGAACAACATCTTATGTTAGAAATCCCCAAGTTAGCCTGTGATACTTATTTGCCTTCTTCATTATAGTTATTCATGCACGTTAATTGTACAGAGTAGCGGGTTTCATTGAAGGTACACAAACTCTCGCCTCTAGACAATGGCCAGATGTCTGATCAAGGAGAGCGTTCGGCCCACTTAAGTGCCATCAGGAATCGGAGCAGACATGGGGCAGTAAACATCGCACACGAGCTACCTTTCCGTTGCTCTTTGGAGGTCTCTCTCCTGCACTAGCCAGAGTCCTTATGGTGGCCCAGGGCACAGGGGAGAACACGCTTCTGCCTCCCGGTTCCAAACGCTTCTTGAGAGCGAAGTGAATTGGGCTGTCAGGGAGGGCAGGAACCCCCGGCCCAGGATGCGCTGGTCATGCCCCCTGCCCCGTGCAGGTACGACAGGCAGAAGCTCACACTGAAGGACATTCACAACTGTCAGTACGTGGCCTGCATGAATCCCACCGCCGGCTCCTTCACTATCGACCCCAGACTGCAGGTGAGCAGCAGTCAGATTCTCCGGCCTGCTGTCCCGGAAAACGAGGACAGAAGCAGAAGCTTGGGGTGTCAGGGCTGCGAGCCAACGTTCCCCCGAGGACTCCCTGCCTTCGGGGATGTGCTGGGAAACTGAGGCACCAGGAAGGGCCAGTCCAGCTGGTCCTCCTGCACCCCACAGGGCTGCCAGGCTTAGCGCATAAACAGCAGACTCCCAGTTAAATCCAGATTTCAGATACAAATGCTTTTTTAGTATATAGGGGATGATTGAAATATACCGTGAGTGTTTAAATTTTAAAAAACGATTACAGCAGAAGACTCATTGCCACAGAGCCCCCCTAGAAGTCTCCCTCTCACTTCGAACACACATCCCATTGTTCTTGCCACTTTTCGAAGCAGTTCTGGAAGTCCTCTTTCATGAGTGTTTTTATGAGGTATGATGAAAATGTGAATAGTGCTACTGCGTGCCATCTAACACAAAGACACGCTCGTGGAAACAAGACAGTGGGTCCTTATCCACCTTCACTGGACGTGGCACCAGGCAACTGCTGGCTCTTCCCCAAAGTCCAAAGGACCATGAAAAGGAAATTATTTATTTTATTTTTTTATTTTTTGAGACAAGGGCTTGCTGTGCACTTTAGACATGAACTCACTACGTAGCCCAGACTGGCCTTGACCGCACAGGGATCCTTCTGCCTCAGCCTCCTGAGTGCTGGAATTCCAAGCATACAGGATTCCACAACCAGCTGGGAAATGTTTCACATAGATTCAGGACATCAAGGCAGCCACAACAGCACAACTAAAGACACTCATGAAAGAGGACTTCCAGACCTGCTTCTTTCCAGAAAGTGGCAAGACAGTGGGATGAATGTATTCAAAGCAAGGGGGAGGTTTTTGAGGACGAATGGCAATGTGTCTTTTACTGAGATGCATTTTTTAAAAACTGAACATTCACTGTGTATTTTAGTCACACCTTGTAAGTAGGTCCCAAATACTGGGTGGAGGCACCAGACAGACCTGTCAGCTCTCAACTGTCAAAGCACACAGTGCTATCTCACGTGTCTTTGGTTCTTAACACAACTGGACATTCAGAGAGGAAAACTGTTCCCCCTAACCATGCCCCGAATGCGTGGGACCATGAGGACCGGCCTTGCTCTCCCCACCCCCGGCGATCTGACGCGCCATGTGCTTGTCCCCGTACAGCGCCACTTCTGCGTGTTTGCCGTGAGCTTCCCCGGCCAGGAGGCCCTCAGGACCATCTACAGCACCATCCTGTCCCAGCACCTGGCCTACCGCTCAGTCCCCATGGTCATCCAGAAGCTGAGCGGCCAGCTGGTGGCCTCCGCCCTGGGTACGCTGGCCGGCCCCTCCCCTTGCCTGTCCGTAAAACCTTACTGCTTTAAGGGGCTGATGGCTCTTCTTATTTTCCCCTGGTAAATATTTTATTTATACTTTGAAATCAATATTTCTTAAATGATGCTGTGTTTCAACAGGAGATATGTGAAATACGATGGCTTTGGGGGAGGGAGGGGATAGGAAATTTAGTCCATCTGATGATTTACAGCGGGGCACCAGGGCTCCTCAGCCTCGGAGAGCTGTGCAGATTTCCTACTTAAATTGTCACCATTTCACAGTCCATTTGCTTTAGAAACTTTAAGCTCTGCATTTCCTGAGGCCATTAAGAATACCTAAGAATCGATGTGTCTTTTTCCTATAACAGCCTTGCATCAGAAAGTCGCAACGATGTTCCTTCCCACGGCCATTAAGTTTCATTACGTCTTCAACCTCAGGGACCTCTCCAATATTTTTCAGGTACTGCTCTCCTGGCTTTATGTCGCGCTGCCTCGTGGCCTAGTCCCGGCCCATGATGCTGTCCTCTGCCACCACTCTCAGGAGAGAAAGCAAAACCACTGGGGCTGATAGTGGTGGTGATGATGGTGTTGATCGTGCATCCTCCTCCTGCTCCTCCT